GCCGGAGGCTCGACTGGGTACCAGCAGGAAACGACCCAGTGAAGCCAGGTGGGCGGCGCAGCCAGATCTCCTCGTGAAGGCTGCCCTGCAAGAAAGCTGTGGAGAAGTCGAGGGAGTGCAGCTCGTAGTCACGCTGTGCTGCAACGTGCAGCAACACCCGAAGAGTGGTCATCTTCCGGGTGGGGGAGAAGGTTTGGAAATAGTCGACCCCCTGTCGCTGACTGAAGCCTCGAGCAACGTAACGCGCCTTGAAGGCAGGCGGAGAACCCGGCGGTCGCTTCACTATGAAAATCCACATGCCATCGACTATGTTCGCCCCAGGAGGAGGAACCTCGTCAACGTAGGTGCCTGTGGACTTCCAGGAAGCCATCTCTGCGTCCATGGCTGTCTGCCACTGAGAGGAGTACTCACCCGCGATCGCCTCAGCGTAAGAGCGCGGGGTAGGGATGTCAAGTGCATCCGGGTCTCCGTCAGGGCGAAGCAGCATGGATGCGAAACGAGGTAAAACGGCCGCAAGACACTCAAGCTCAAACTGCCTGTCCTCAAGGACGTCACTGCCAAGTGCATGCTCACCCCCGACGGACGGAGGACACACAGATTCAGACTCAGTAACAAGACTCGCGACGTAGTCGAGACGACTCCTAGCAGCAAAGTCGACTAGCTTAGTGACTAGGGCAAATGCAGCAGTAGACTCAAAGTCTGGGTCAGTGACGACAGTAGCGAGGAGACGCGTGACAGTAGGACTGGCAGCACGAGCAAGGTCTGACTCAGGGTCAGGAACGTGTGGAAGAGAGGACGCGGGAGGCTCAGGCAGGACAACACGCTGTGGAACAGAGGAAGGACAAAGTGCCATACCGTGAGTGCCTGGGACAGTAGGAGGACGAGGACGGGCGACACGACGAGCACGAACAGGTGTGGAAGCACGAGTCTCAGGCTAACGACGCTCAGTCAGGGACTCAGTCACCTCAGTGTGAGGAGTAGGAGCAGGCAGCGGGGAGCCAGGCAGTAGCTGTGGCTGAGACTGGTCTGTCGGTGGACACAGGAGAGGTGGAGTGAGGCCAGTGGAAGATGGGAGACTAAGAACCTGGCGAAGGGTTGAGTCAGGCGGTGGAAGGGACGACTGCGGCTGCGGGTAGAAAAACGGTCGGTGCGGCGCAGTACCCGGACCGTCAGCAGCTCCAGTACCTCCAGTACCTCCAGCTCCAGCGCCTCCAGTACCAGCAGCACCTCCAGCACCTCCAGCAACAGCACCACCAGCACCTCCTGTGCCAGCAGCTCCAGTAGCACCTCCAGCACCAGCAGCACCACCAGCTCCGGCAGCTCCAGTACGTCTTGTACGAGCACCTCCAGGACCAGCAGCTCCAGCAGCTCCAGCACCAGTAGCACCAGCACCTCCAGTGCCAGCAGCTCCAGTCACCCCAGCACCTCCAGCAGCACCTCCAGCACCTCCAGCACCAGCAGCACCACCAGCTCCGGCAGCTCCATCACCTCCAGTACGAGCACCTCCAGGACCAGCAGCTCCAGCAGCTCCAGTACCTCCAGTACCTCCAGCTCCAGCTCCTCCAGTCTCAGCACCTCCAGTCTCAGCACCTCCAGTCTCAGCACCCCCAGTCTCAGCACCTCCAGAACCCGCACCCCCTGTCTCAGCACCCCCAGAACCCGCACCACCAGTGTCACCACCCGCAGCAGCACCAGAGTCCACAACAGCAGGCTGCGGAGGCGGCGAAGACGGCCGAGGCGGAAAACTAGGGGGGGTCTCCAAGCGAGGAGAGTGGTGAGTGGCCACCGTGTCGTCTGCGGCGGGGTCACCCCCCTCAGCCGAGCCAGAGGAGTCAGAAGAGATCTCCAAAGGCTCAACCAAGGGGGGTGGGTCTACCTGAGACACACCTGAGGGAGCAGGACCCTATGGGGGGAGGGGGTCTATCGGGGGGGGAACTGGTACCAGGAAGAGAGGCGCGAGGGGGACCGGGTGGGACGCGTGCGGGTGGAGCCTGTAGAAACAGACCGACTCGTTGAAGCTGACGTCCTGGGAGGAGAACACGCGACGCGAGCGAGGGTGGTAAAACTGCCACGGCGGGGCGTCTAAAACCAAAACCTCCACCACCTGGACGGCCTCGCTGAACGATCCACTCACGAATCTGCTGTGGCGAGAGAGTGTTCGGGTGCGCGGGCTGCCGCTGCTGTCCAGCACCTCCAGCACCTCTAGCACGATAACCTCCACCACCAGGACGGCCTCGCTGAATAACCCACTCGCGAAGTTGCTGCGGTGATAGAGTGTCCGGGTGAGGCAGTGGCTGCTGTTGTCCACCCCTAGACACTGCTACGACCGTGATAGTGGCCATGACAGGCAGTGGCAGTCAGTAGCAGCGGCGCAAGGGCGTGAATAGCAGCTGCTGTAGCTGCAGCCGTAGCAGTAGCGGTGGTCGCTGTGGCTGCAACAGCAGTAGCAACTGTTGGAGTGGCTGTGCGTGGGTGGTAGGGCACGAGCTAACAGCAGTGCGTGGGTAGAGCAGGCACGCGGGCGGTAGTTCAGCACGGGCTGCAGGGCGCACGCGGGCTACATGGCGCACGTAGGGCGGAGGGCAGCAGAGGCGCGCGGGCTGCAAGGGCGAGCGCGGGCTGCAGGGGCGAGCGCGGGCTGCAGGGGCGAGCGTGGCTGCAGGGGCGAGCGCGGGCTGCAGGGGCGAGCGCGGGCTGTAGGAGCGAGCACGGCTGCAGGGGCGAGTGCGGGCTGCGGAGGCTAGCGCAGGCTGCAGGGGCGAGCGCGGCTGCAGGGGCGAGCGCGGGCTGCAGAGGCGAGCACGGGCTGCAGGGGCGAGAGCGGCTGCAGGGGCGAGCGCGGGCTGCAGGGGCGAGCGCGGGCTGTAGGGGCGAGCACGGCTGCAGGGGCGAGCGCGGGCTGCAGGGGCGAGCGCGGCTGCAGGGGCGAGCGCGGGCTGCAGAGGCGAGCGCGGCTGCAGGGGCGAGCGCGGGCTGCAGGGGCGAGCGCGGCTGCAGGGGCAAGCGCGGGCTGCAGAGGCGAGCCCGGCTGCAGGGGCGAGCGCGGGCTGTAGGGGCGAGCGCGGGCAGCAGGGGCTAGCGCGGGCTGCAGGGGCGAGCGCAGCTGCAGGGGCGAGTGCTCTAGGGATTGGGTTGGCACTAGTCTGCTTGCTAATGCCTCTTGTAATCTCCACGATCACCCAATTCCAACTTGCGCAGCTCTCAGTTTCAGCAGACGTAGAGTGAATACCGAATACTTGGTATGGTTTCCGAATACTTGGTATAAGGTTCACTCAGTCACCAAGACGTACAAAATAGCCGAAGTACTTGAACAGCAAAGTGCGGAATATCAAAGTACTTGAAAACTGATCAAACAAGCAACACAATTTAAGCACCCCAAAATGTGGTATGCGGTTCGCGCGATGCGATGTCCGCGTTCCAACTCGAGTCGAGTGTGGTACCGAATTCGGTGGTCAACATTAAAACCGAAATTCGGTGACCGACACCGAAACCTGTTTGTCGCATCCGCACCGAACGCGGTTCGGTATGCGGTTGCACATTTAGGTCTGCGGTTGACCACTCAGGTATTCGGAAAATGTCTTCTCCCGAACCGCACTCCTCTACCATTCCGCATTCCCACTTTCTTCACGCTTTCCTAACAAAGTTCCCCAACTTTCAACCCCACCGTTCTAGCTGACGGTGCCCCCTTTTAGGTCGTCGTTTTCCACCATTCTAGCATTGCGCCACCGCCCTAAATCCAAGCGCTTAGGACGGTAGTCACTAGGGCAGTGGCGAACCACCCTAACAAGTGCGGGCTGCAGGGGCGAGCGCGGCGGCAGGGGCTAGCGCGGGCTGCAGGGGCGAGCGCGGCTGCAGGGGCGAGCGCGGGCTGCAGGGGCAAGCGCGGCTGCAGGGGCGAGCGCGGCCTGCAGGAGCGAGCGCGGGCTGCAGGGGCGAGCGCGGCTACAGGGGCGAGCGCGGGCTGCAGGGGCGAGCGCGGCTGCAGGGGCGAGCGCGGGCAGCAGGTGCGAGCGCGGGCTGCAGGGGCGAGCGCGGCTGCAGGGGCGAGCGCGGGCTGCAGGGGCGAGCGCGGCTGCAGGGGCGAGCGCGGGCAGCAGGTGCGAGCGCAGGCTGCAGGGGCGAGCGCGGCTGCAGGGGCGAGTGCGGGGTGCAGGGGCGAGCGCGGCTGCAGGGGCGAGCACGGGCTGCAGGGGCGAGCGCGGGCTGCAGGGGCGAGGCGGCGCTCGGGCCTAAGGGCAGGGCGGCGCGCGGGCCTAAGGGCAGGGCAGCGCAGCGCGCGGGCTGCAGCGCAGGGCTGCGCGCGGGCCTAAGGGCAGGGCAGTTTTTTACGGGCAGGGCAGGGCGGAACATTCGGTGGGCCCTAGGAACGATCATGCTCTAATACCATGTTGAGATAGGAAAACAGGAATGGTGAATGACTAGCAACAGGGAGATACAAGTAGTAAACCCTAACTGGTGTTGTACACTATACTGAGCACCTCACTGTAGCCTAGCAGAACTAGGAACATACAAATATGTTTTGACATGAAGTAGCCCCCCCATCTCCCCATCTAAATCTGTCTCTGCCCAGTTCCAACCCCACCACACCTCTCCCCACATTTCGGCAGCCATTCATCTTCCTCCTTGCACCTGCTTGCCCCACTGTCACTCCTCCCATGAACTTGCTCTTGGCTGTGTATCACAAGAGGACAGCATTCGCTCCAGAGGCCGCTGCAAAAAACATAGCTTTTGTGAAAGGAGGGTCGAAAGAGGCTGTATGGCTGTGCGGTGTAGCCATGCCACTGATGCAGATGAATGGCCTGGGTGCCTAAATCACAGGGAGGTAGCAGCACACAAGTGCCAAAGGGCGGCAGTGCAAAGGCTGGCAGATGTGAGCATAGACAAAAGAGACAAACCAGCTGTAGTGACGGAGCAGACTGAGGCCACTTCAACGCTGTAAGGATACACCATAGCAGCATCTTGTGAAAAAAAAACACAGTAAAAATGCATGGCAAGAAAGGCTACATCTTGTGCTTCATCACATACGCATGGTTCAGTACAGCCACGGCAGCCTTGAGCTCCTCTGCAGCATCTGTTGCGGCGTCCAGCAACTGCTCATCCCTCTCAACCTGCTCCTCCGATGATGAGACATGCACTGTGCTGAGGCGAGCCTTCACGGCTAGCACAGCGCTGTGCACAAGGGCAAGAAATGCCGATGCTTTCACCTGCCCCAAGAGAGGGCGCAGGGCAACGGGGCATGGAGGTGCGCAGGGAAGTGGCGAAGGAGGGAGGGGGGAACAATAAGAGGGAAAAGGAGAGGGTGGGGTGTGGAGGGGGAGAGAGAAAGGAAATACATACAAGGGGTGAGGACAAAAGTAGAGAAGGTGGGGAGCGAGGAGAAGAGAGAGAAAGAGACCTTTGTATGCATGTCAGTGTCGACCATAATGCATCGGGGCTATGCGAGAGGAAGAGGGGGAAAGGAAGTGTGAGAAAGAGACCTATGGTTACCCTCCTGATGCCTAGATACACCAACCCAGGTATACCTATGGTTCCCTTTATCTTGTACCCGGCAGGGCAGTCAGGTAGCTGGTCAACACCAACCCATCCACTCACCAGGCAGCCAACCTCCTCCATAAGAGAGGGAGCGCCAGGCATTTCCCCTTCAGTGTGGACGAGCCATGGGCTTTCATATCATTGAAGGGGGAATGCCATGGCCATCATTGCCATTGAAGCTTTTCTTAAGGCGTCTCAAAAACTGCCATTGAAGCTGAGCATCCCAGCGGTTTCACCACATTTCTTGGCCCTGAAGTAGGGCCAGAAAATGTGGTTGCCATTCATTTTTTCTGGATTAAAAAAGAACCAGAAATGTTGGCGTGGCACTGACTGACCTCAAGGGGAGAGGCGTGGTCCAAAAACCCCTTTATGTAGAACTTCCTCACAGCCTTGCTGCGCGCCTGCAGTAACACACTGAGGCCCCTCTTGGCCTCCCTGCGGCTCCTCTCCAGTGGTGGCAACTCCTGCTGAAGACGTTCCCTAGCCTGTCAAGAACAAAAGGGGGGAGAATGCTGTGAGAGAAAGCATGGCATGATCTCTCTAACACACGGCTCCGAGAGGAGAAAGATGCCTGAATAGGAACATGGAGCTTGTGTGTTTGAAATGCTGGAACCACAAAAGGCAACGAAGTGCATTTGTATTCCGGGCAGGTTAGTGAGGGAAGTGAACGCTGTGGTTGACATTCTACCCCCCACCTGCATTCACTCTGCAGAATGAACACTGCGGAGTAGAATGTTTACGGTGACCGACCACCCCACCTGCAGCACATCCGCACCCTGCATTCCTGGGCGGGCATCTGCATCACAAACACCTCACCCAACATTACAGCCACACCCCCCTTTCCCTTCCCCGTGGTCCTTCCTTCCCCTCACTGGTGTGCTTACCTCTAGAAGGAGCTGCCTTAAGGTTGCAGTGACACGAACAGCAATCTTCACTCCGTCCACCTCCTCTCGCTCATCTCCCTCCCCCTCGTCCCCAGACCCTCTCTTATACCCTCCCTCCTCCCCCAAAACAGCATCAACATCCTCAATCCCCTCTTCCTTATCCATCTTCTCCAAATCAACATTTTCCTCTTCCACCTCCTCCTCCTGATCCTCCTGGCCCTGCTCCCCAAACAACCCCTCAGCTCCGCCCCACTCCTCAGACCTCCCTCCTCTGGCGCCCTCCCTTTCCTCCTCCCACTCTTACACTCTCCCCTCCCCACCCTCCGCCTCCCAGTCAGCAATCGCATCTCCACCAATGCGTCCTGCTGGCTCACGTCCTGTCAGCCCCACAAGAGAGAAGACGCTGCACTCGGAAAGATGAGTATCAGCACCAGGCACCCACTCCTCACCAACATCCACTTGAGGCGAATGGGGCTCATTTGCAGCACCACACAAGAGAGAAGACGTGGCACTCCGAACCTGGCTCTTCTCCACATTGAACCTTCTCAGCTTCGCATGCCATCGGCGCCGTTGGATGAAGGGGGAGCCTTTTCTCCGGAGCACAATCCATGGGTCACCCAGTTTGAACATGGCCCACGCGGTCGTGTAATGCATTGGGGTTGAGCCGATTCCCGCCCAAAACGGCCGCGAATTCGTTACGGATCAGGTGTGGAAGCTGATGCAACATCGACCCGTTCCAGCACCAAAGGTCACGGAGGAAGGTGGCCGTGCTGTTGTGAGAAGCCGGTACATTGGCTGATGAAGCAATGAGGAGGGTGAGGAGACGGAGAAATAGCGCAGGAGCCTCAGAGCTGGACCACCTCCGCTGCTGTAATGCGCCTTGCTGCTGAAGAAGGGACTTGATAAGCACATGCAGGCAAGTCAGCTGGGCTTTAAGCTGATGGTCGTGGCCTGGAGGGATTTTGCACGGTGGTGACTGGAGCAGGAGGGTGCAGAGAGCAGAGGCGCGGTGGTTATCCAGGTGGAGTGCCGCAAGGGAGGTGGGGATGATGAAGTTTCGGAGCTTGGTGATGGCCGCACACACGTAAGTCACTTCCCTTTCAAGCACGTACACAGCAGCAGTGAGAGGGACGGGGGCCTCGTCGCTTGGTTGGCCCAGGTTGCGGCTCTGCAGCAGAGTGGAAGAAGCAAAGCGGATAGAAGTACCCACGTAGGTGGAGAGGCCAGGACAGTGCAAGCGACAAATCAGAGACCAAAAGTCAAGGAACAAATGGAATACAAAGGCAATACGTGTCAAGCAGAAGCAGAAGCAGCAGCAGCAGCAGCAGCGCAAGAGACAACAACAGCAGTGAACAGCAAACACACACTCACAGGGAGCGCCTGCAGGAGAGCAGCCACCCACTCAGTGCTGGCAAGAGTGATGGCAGCGCCATGGCTGTGCGGCTGCTCAAGGAACAACCGGACGGCATCTTCATGCACCACTGCTCTCAGCACAGCAGCGTGCACAGGATGCAGGCTGGACTGCCTCTGCAGCAGCTCCCCGCCGTACCTGTGGACCCATCGGAGGCCCAACAGCGGCAGCACTAGCAGCAAGTCACCCAAGAGAGCCAGAAGCACAGGCTCCTGCATGTCAGACCACATCCCATTTGAACCCCACAGGACCCCTTCCTTGACCCGCGTGACCGCGTCCTGACGTGTTGCTCCATCCACGCATTGAGCAAGCAGCCTGAGAGCCCAGCAGTGCAGCACGAAGCAAGTGCTCTCCTGTGCTCGCACCTCCGCAGCCAGCAGCGCTGTGTCACGGGGAAGGGGAGCGCCCACCGGCATCACATGCTGCAGCAGGCGCCGAGCAAGGCCGTCCCGCAGCCTCTCCAACATGCTTGCAGCGCCCTCCAGCTCTCGTGCCTCCTCCGACTTTCGGTCATTTCCCACTTTCTCTGCAGCGCGGTCAGCAGCACTGGAGATGTGAGTTTTTAAGTGACTGTGGGGCCGTTGACAGCTCTTCCTACGGCCATTGCAGCACTGCAGGGCTCGTTCCAGCATCTCAAGGCACTGCACGAGCCACTCGCACTGCAGACGCAGTACCGATGCTCGAGATATCGCGTCCCGATCGCCGCTTCCCTGCTGCTGCTGCTGCTGCTGATTTTTTTGGATCTGGAATCCTCCCTGGGTCACCCGACCTGTCAGCTGTCCCACTCCTTGCTGCAGCAGTTCATTCCCATGCCCCATCTGCTGCAACACCATGCTTGTCCGGCACAAGGCTAAATCCAAGGCCTGCAGGCAGCCTTGCACCATCGTTGCTACCTGCCTGGCCCAGAATATGGCACCTGCCTCAGCTGCAGCCTCCCTCGCTACCTCCCCACGAGTGCCCTGATTGGGCAGGCGGGTCACAGCAGCACGCACGGGCAGAAGCCAGGCAGAACTGGACAGACCCACCAGGATGGAGTGTGACGGCGAATCCAAGGCAGGAGGTGCAGTATGAGCTGCAGTAGACACACCCTCTGCTGTACCGGAGGCAGTGGGGGGTGTGGCGGCAAGCAAATGGAAGGCTGCATTTAGCCAGGGCTGATCTGCCGGCACCTCCCTCCTCCTGCGCAGCCGTTGCAACGCCGCCACCATTTGCACAACCCTCTCACTCCACTCACCCCACCAGCGCTGCACCTCCCCCACCAGCACCCCCAGCTGCTGGAGCAGGCCTGGCCAGGATTCATCCGTCGCCTCCTCGCTCCTCCTCTCACCTTGCTGCACCTGCTGTATCTCCTGTGGTCCGCCTCCTCCGATACACCAATCTCCTGGGCTGGCTTGCACTGCCTGTCGATGGCGCTGCGTTGGGAGCCAGCTAGGGAGACGCTCCGTGTTCGGCAGTGGGGAAGTGGTGCTTGTGAGGGAAGAGGCAGAGGAAAGGGAGGAGAAGGTGTGCAAAAGAAAGGTGTTGAATTTCTCCAGGCTCAGCTCCAGAGCCTTCCAGCTGCACAGCACTTCAGCGGCAATGCTTCGCCCCCCTCCCCAACCCGTCAGCCGGCACCACAATGTTTTTATGTCCCCAATGTCATCCCTTCGCTGAATCCTCTTGCGCAGCAGCAATAAGGTCAGAGCCTCCAACCCCTGCTCTGCGTCCACCTCGCTCTCCCATTCCCTTGCTCCTTCCCCCTGCACTGCACTCCCCACTTGCTCACTCCGAGCCAAACACCCCGCTTCCTTCCCAAATCCTCTCCTCCCTTCCCTTACTCCATATGCTGCTACCGAACCTGTACCCCTGCACACCGATGCCTCCTCCTGTGTCAGCCAGATGGCAACGGCCAGCTCCAATGCATTCCTGCTCCTTCCCTTGCTGCTCTTCTGACCTTCTTCTCCAACTCCCTCAACTCCTGCTGCTGCTCCCTTTCTAATCCATTTCCTCACTTCTGACTTCCAGCTCCAACCATTCCCACCTGTGTTCACCCGTGTGCATTCACCCACATCCTCCTCCTCCTCCTCCTCTTCCTCATCCTCACCTTCCTCCCTCCTCGCACTGCTGCTGCTGCTGCTATTCAGGGGCCACCCGTTGTTCCCATTCGCCCACATGCCGGCAACACGGGCAGCTTCCATTGCACATTCAAACGCCCTGCCCCACATCTTCTGCTGAACAAAAATTTCAGCTGCACCCAACATATCGCCCTTCTTCAGTCTCGCTGCGGCTGCCCGCTCAAAGTTCCCCTCAGCCACCTCGACTTGCAACAGCTCCTCAAACAAGTCTCTTCTCTCCAAGAACCGCCGCTTCTCTGCTGCGGCAGGGAACTGGAGAACGTACTTCATCATCTTGCCCCTCTCCTTCTTCCGATAGAAGAATTTTGCAGCGTCGTGGAGGAAAGCAGAACTCAGCCCTGTGACCAGCTCCTGCCGCATCTTCCAATCATCCCCTTTCATGGGAGCACTCACAGAACTGTCCTCCCTTGCAGATTTTAGAACGCTGCACAGCCCGTCTGCAATCTGCGCCTGCCAGGAATGAATGAGCGAGAGGCCTAGGTTGTAGAGCCTGGCTTGTGAGCACGCAGCTAGTGCCCGTTCCACAAGCCACGCCTGGGCCAGACACTCGGCAGCATCTGAGGCCTTTCCGGCCTGCAGGTAGCACGCTGCGGCCCTCTCCAACTGTGGCGGCTTGCACATTTTGCGGTAGATGGCAGCTGCTTTTACAGAAAAGAGAAAGCGGAAGGAAAAGGGAAAACATAAGGGAAAGGGCAAGCCCATAAATGCCCGTTTTGGTGATTATGGTCCTTAGTGCAATTGGGGATTCACAGCAGATGAGAAGATGGAGAAATAGCGAGGAAAATGGAGAAGATGAGGGAAAGGGAAAGGAGGTGAAAGAAAAAATTAAGGGAAAGGGAATGGGAACGGGAAGGGGAAGGAGAAGGAAAGGAGAAGGGATGGAGAGGGAAAGGAGAAGGGAAGGAGGAGGGAAGGAGAAGGGAAGGAACAGGGAAGGAGAAGGGAAGCAGCAGGGTAAGAAAGGGGAAGGAGGAGGGAACGAGAAGGGAAGGAGAAGGGAAGGAGAAGGGAAGGACAAGAGAATGAACAGCGAAAGAACAGGGAAAGAGAAGGGAAGGAGAAGAGAATGAACAGGGAAAGAACAGGGAAGGAGAAGGGAAGGAGAAGGGAACGGGAAGGGAAGGAGAAGGGAAGGGGAAGGGAAGGGAAGGGGAAAGGAAGGAGAAGGGAAGGAACAGGGAAGATGCGAGGGAGACAGGAAGGTGGCGGACAAGAGGTGATTAGTATTGAAGGGTTAAACATGAGGGACAATGGACAAAAGAGGACCTCAAGCATGCACGGGAGGCGTGTAGTGAGTCGATTTTTGAGTCGACTCAAAAAGCATGCACGGGAGGCTGGTTGAACACAAGAGACAGTCAACAAGTTGCTATGTCCCCCCCGAGAATGCTTCTCAACATGGAAGGGCGTGGCTCCCATCATCAAGAAAACGGCCCACACCCACTTCTCGCTGTTGCGAAGCCCCCTACCCCTCAGCACAACCTCTAACTCTTCTCCATCTACACACTCCAGCAGGCATGCTATCCCTGACACCCCCCGTATTCACACACACCATCCCCCTTCCCCTCCCCCACTTCCCCCCCCGGTATAACCTGCTCGTTCCATCTCCCCAGCGCTGGCGAGGCACCCTGCAGCGTCCCTCGGCCGCTCAACCGCCAGAAACGCCTGTGCGGCATCCTGGAAGGTTTGGCAGGCCTGCCGGTGGTCTGTGCCTTGCTGCCTCTTGGCCGTCTGCTGCAGCAGCGCTGCGTGTGCCACTGCTGCTCTGCGCTCGTCCCCCGCCCTCTCGAAACTCATCTCTGCTGCCTCAAACTGCCCAGCGTTGAACATCTGGAGCAAGGGGTTGCAGAAACAGAAATGGGGCGGAAAGGAAGATGGAGAGAAGATGGGTTGGGGAAGGGAAAGGGAGGGGAGAAGATTGGAGTACGTGGTTGATGCTTGCGAAGCTTGGGCTGCAACAGGAAAATGCGAATCTGGGGTGGGTGCGAAGCCAGATTGGGAGGGGAAGAGAGAAGAGGAGCAATAGACTGGTTAAAGCGACGCATGTGGTTTCAAAAATATTGATTCTAAACCCAGTTTGCCGACACGACATTTTCGCGTTTGCGTTAACAGCTTCTTCTTGGAGTAACACGTCGCACAATCCCTTTTATTTCGTCCGCCAATGTAATTGACCCTCGCTCTTAGTAACAGTGCGACAGTGTGTCCCTCCCTACAGATAAGTAACGGCATGCCATGTACGTGCATCCACCCACCCACCTCGAGGCTCCGTTTGTGCCATTTCTCTGGTGATGACTCTGTGAGCATGGACGCAATGAGATCGTTGGTCAGTGGGCGCACCACCACCAGCCCCATCGCCTCCCACAGGTCCATGGCCGGCTGCCTTGCCGCCTCGTCCTCCTCGTATATCCACAGCCGCTGCCGCGCTCGCGTGAGCACCACGTACAGTTGCTTCAGCTCGCTGCACAGCAGGTTGTGCCTGGAATGGGAGGGCGACAGGTGGAAAAAGGGAGGGGGGAAGGGAGGGGGTGGGGATTTGGACTTGAGAAGATAGGGAACTAGGTGCAATACCCAAGTGCGAAGGAACCGGGCGTGTGTACACATCAATGTGGAAGGAAAAACATGTCGGCACAGAAACACATGACACAGCCAACTTGAAGATCACTAATTGAGCCTATTTTTTTGGCCAACAAAAAAAAAAAAACCAGGAGCCAACCCATTCGAAGGATCATTGAAATAAAGAGCCTTCGGATCACTGCCTGAACCGGTGGCGCGCACACGCGCGTCAGCACTGCGACACGCGCTCGCGCTCAGTTTTGTCAAAGTAATAATATATTTTTGAGTCAATTCTTCGAACCGAGTCAACAAAGGTGGCACAAGACAGAACCCTTCATCTGAACATCACTACAATGAAAGACGGCATCACCTTCTTGGGTCAAAGGCAGGGCACTGCCACTGACTGGAGGAGCTGCTTTGTGCGGTTGAGGGTATGAGGTGGTGCTGCCGCATGTACTCATACAGCAGGCGCCATCCCGAGGCGAGCAGTGAGTGAGAGAAGAAGTTGTAGATCAGAGCATCCTGTTTGGAAGAGGTCGAAGGGTGGAAAGAGGTGGACGGAGAGGCAAGTCGCCGACAGCTGATCTAGTTGGATACCTAGAGCTTCAAAACAGGAAACTTAGGTCTACTGGACAGGGAAAGGTGGTCGCATGGGTTGCATAGCAAGGGAGGATATAGGCTACTTGCTTGCATGAACCTAAACGAGCATGACATAACATACATGGTTACTCAGAAGAGACAACTCCTAATCGTCTCTGCACTGCACTGGTCCATTCGCGCACCTGGAATTCCAACCCCTTGCATTCATGCACGCTGAGCAAGAGCCCACGCAAGCCAGTGCGCTCCACCAGTTCCGTTCGCCGCGCTGCGTCTCGCACTAGAATGACCTGACCAGGAGCCAAAAAAGGGTTGCACAGCAGGAAAAATATGAATTTTCTGGCACGTTTTAAGCTGGCACGTGACTCGCTTTTCATTATGCCTCCGTTTGCTTCCTTGCTCCCCCTTTGGCCCCCCTTCCCTATACCTCCCCTTTGCCCCCTTCCCCCAGCCGTTGTTTTTTTCAAAATCCATCCATACCTTGTCTCCACCTTCTCTATTCCCTTCCACCTCCCTTCCCTCGGCACCCAATACCCATCATCCCCTGTTGAGTGCACTGAAGGGCAGCTGCACCCTCCCCTACATTCATACCTGCTCAGCGCCGAATTCACACCCTCCTCCTCCAATGCCCCCGCGCTTCCCAAACAGCTGTGCCACGCGGTCACGGCTGCCGCCGGACTGGAGGAACACGGGCGGCTCGCCTTGCTGCTGGCTGAACTCGGGCTGCAAGCGGTCAACAGAGTGAGGGAAGAAGTGAAGCAGCACGCGCACCACGCTGTCTGCCACTCGCACGATGCCGCTGTGCGACCGGAAGTTCTGCGAGAGGAACTGCAGGTCCGGCATCTCAGTGCACGAGGAACGATCCTCCGCTGGTGGGCCAACGCAAACGACCTCTGTCCCATCCCTGGTGCCTGCAACCGGGTCGATGACTGCTTCTGATGTGGTTTCCTTCGCGCCTGCTGCACGCTTTGAAAAGCCTGCACAGGGCTTCCTGACCCCGGCTTCCTCCTTCCCTGCGCTTCCCTCCCCTCGAACCTCCTCCTGAATCCTTTCCCCCTGGCCGACTGCCTCTGCCTCCCTCGTGACTCTACTGCCCTCGCCCACCTCCCTTGCTTCTCTCGCACACCGCCATTCCCACCTTCACACCCTCCTTCCTTCTCCTCACCGATCCTCCCACTCTCCACAATCTCTCTGCCACTTACCCCACCACCAACCCCCCCTCGCCCTCCATCCACTTCCTCGCTCCTTTCCACCCTGCCAGCAGCAGAAGCCACCCCTTTCCCGAGAAACAGCTCGTAGAAGAGCCGCCGGACGTCCTGAAAGCGAAAGTCCACCCCGCGGGCGATGGTCTGGGCAGTGTCACCGGCAAAGAAGAACCCAGTGGCGACATTGGAGCAGAGGAACTGCAGGATGGCGATTTGCGCCTGCGTCAGGTCCTGCACCTCGTCCACATACACGTACTGGAATGGTGGCCCTGCGACGACTTTCCCGCCAGCACCCACAGCCCTGCTTGTCCCGATCGCAGCTGATGAAACCCAGCCTTGCTGCCATACGGAGGAGGAGTGCTGGTGCTACCACAGGCAGTGCCTGCTGCAGCAGTCGCAGCAGCAGCAGCGGGGTCCAGAGCCGTGTAGCCCCTTTCTCCAGCTGCTTGTAAACATGGAAGACGTGGTCGCACATGTCATGGTCCCCTCTCTGCCGCTTCAGCCTCTCGTACTGCAGGAAGAGCGCGTAAATGGCCGTGCGCTGCTCCTCGTTCAGGCTGGACGTGCGCGTGCGCGCCAGCAGCACGTAGTCCTGCAGAGACACACGGCCGTGCGGTGACCTGAGCGCGTGAAGGGAGCCCTTGATGTGGGAGAAGATCTCCTTGAACACCGCGGACGCGTCGAGATGACGGGTGGTTGCTGCGTTGAGCCGCGGCCAGTAGACTGCCTCAAAGCGCTCGTAGTCAACCTCTTCTGAAACCCATGCAGCAGCAGTGCCGCTGCTGCTCCTGCTTTTGACGCTGCCACGAGTTCTGCTGCTGGGGGCTATTCCAGTGGTGCTGGTTATAGTGCTGCAGCCGATGCATTGCAGCCTGCCCCCTCGCCACCTGTGTTCGCTAAACAGCCCCCCCTCATCCTCTTCATCATCATCATCCTCACTATAGTCGTCCTCATCATTCTCCTCACCCCACACTGCATTCACGCCACCAGGCAAGCCGTCACCACTCCAGCGACCTCCCACGGACCCTCCTCGGCCCCATCCACTGCCCGTGCTGCTCCCTCCCGTCTGGAACGGGTGCGACAGCGTGGCATTCACCATGCTGAGAAGCTTCTTGAATGTGAGCACGAGGGGGAAGGCAGCAGGCGCCACTGAATCCAGAGCCTCTGGTAGGTCGCCCAGAAGCTTCTCCTCTGCTTCCTCCAACAACAGCAGCTCATCCTGCTCCTCCTCCCCTGCCTGTGCAAGCTGTGTTTCTCCCTCAGCTCTCTTCGCAGGTCCATCTGGCTGGCACTCCACTGCCGGCATGCATGGACCGCCATGCTCGTCTGCCTGCAGCATAGTCCTGCCAGAAACGAGAAAGGGAGAGCACGGAGGGAGGGAGACAAGCGGGAAGAAAATAAGGAACAGAAGAAGAGATGTGGAGGGAGGAGGGAAACAATGGATCGAATCGATTGACTATGGAAATTGGAACAGTTCCACGACACAGCACAGCACGTGTGGCCAGGCCCCACTACTCACCTCGTGGCCTTGTTCACATAGCGTTTGATGGCAGCACACAAGTGCGCACTCGGAGTCACAACCACCTGGCGCAGTCCACCCCTCTCCTCCTCTCCCTCCTCCCCACTCTTCCCTTCACCCTCCTCTTCCTCACTCTCCTCAAGTTCCTCATATGTCCCCCAGCCGCGTTGCTCTCTGCCACGTGAGGCGCCACTGCGTACAGCGCGCACACTTTGAGAATTCTCAGAAGTCAGAAGGCGCCTCTCGCCCATGGCGCGGCGGAACGTGTGCTCCAGCAGCAGCAGGCGGTGGGTGATCACTGTCGTCTTGCCCGTGCCTGGGCCAGCCACACAAAAAAGGGGATGACAGACGCAGAGGAAGAGCATGCCTTTTGGACTGAAGTCTCTTGAGCTGACTCAAGCTGAGGGGTTAATAACAGAAGCGGAGGGGTGTGGAGGAGGTTCCGTTCGAGAGTGAAAGTTGTCGTAAAGGTTTGTGAGGCATAGGAAGGGCAGTAACTTTGCTGCAAGCAACTCACTGACCAAGCACAACGGGTCGCGGCTGCTCAGTCACACGCCTGTTAAGTGACAAGCATGACCACGCCCACCTGATCGGCCGAGCACAAAAGCAGTGCAGTTGGAGTGGACTATCGCAGCTTGCTGCTCGTTCAGCTTAAACAGCCACTCCCCCGGAACTGCTGCCATCAGGTGCTGGGCGGAGCCTAGCGAAAGTGGATAGAATTTCATCAGCAGCACGTTTTCATCCACTGGCGCTCGCTCCGGTATGGCAGCTGATGCTGGGTGTGAGGCTGAGAAATAGGGAGGGGGAAAGAGAGGGAAAGGATGGAGTGCAGAAGGTTTGAGGCAAGGAAACGGCAGGTAAGAACATAAGGAAAGAAATGGTTGAGGTCGTCGGTGGAGCTTGCTTGCACTGACACATGTTACCTCCCTCCCATCATTCAGCCTCCCTCCCATCATTCACACCAGCTTTTCCAGAAACAAAAAGCACCAAATGAGGTTCTCTTTTGCCAGTGACTCAAAATTGATCATGCTGCAGCACGAGCACCTGGCACGTTGGTGCCCCGCTGCCCCTCCCTCCACCACTCGAAGGGAGCATGGCGGTTGAATTGGCGAGGATGCACCCTGCGAGCGGAGCAGGGTGAGCTTGCGGCGCAGCAGTCAAGGGGCTGGTCTGAGAACGAGGCCAGGCCTTTCGCCAGGCGGTGCAGCCATGGCAGCACCCCACGCTCTGGAACCACGTCCCACACCTTGATCATCTGTGAGCGAGGAGGAGGACAGGGGGCAGGGAGTTGGGGGGGATGGATGGAGAAACGAGACAGGAGGGAAGTGAAGCTGGGAGATGAGCAGTGAGAAACTGGTAGTGCTGGACCATGCAACAGACAAGCTCCGCCAGCCGCGCATCTAAGCCTCAGTAAGCTGCAAAGCCCGTTTCTATCAAAGCTGACTGACCGAGCACACCGTTTCTATGAAAGAGGAGGAAGAAACACCATACATACAGGGAAATCGCTACAAAGAGAACACGTCTACTTATGAGGAAAGATCACCACACGTGACAACAGACGGGTTAAACCAGCATATCCCAGGCTCCATAACTCTTGCACTGAAGCCAGACCAAACCCCCTGTTCTAAACCCCTGGATGGGAAGTCCTCACTTGCTGGTAAGACTCCGGGGATATGTCAACGGTCCAGATGAGAAAGGCCCGCCCCACAGGCTGCACGTGAATGATGTCGTGGTAGCGCGGGTCGCTGAGCTCGTGCCGCGGCCGCGTGTCCCACTGCGGGCGGTGGCCCTGCATGAGGCGCCGCACTGCATTGATCACCTCCAGTGACGGCGTCTGCCGCATGCTGCGCTGAAACTCCTGGCTGAACGCCGCCTGCAGGTAGTGGGCAGCAGGCAGCAGGCAGCAGGCAGCAGGCAGCAGGCAGCAGGAACGGCGCAGGGAAAAGAGAAGGGAAAGGAGGAAATGGGATGGGACGTTAAGAAGGGAAGAGGGTGCAAGCTGAAGCAGCACGAGTTGAATCTGCACCCACGACTAGACTGCGAGCTGTCATCACCCCCCTGTGCTCACCCGCTTATCCCCATCCCATGCCTCACCTCCCAGTGCAGGCCGGCCCAGAGCCCCGAGTGGGGTTTCAGCAGCTGCTGTGCCTCCCCCACCTGCACCCACCGCCTCTCCACAGCCCTTGCCAGCCCTTCATCGCTCCGAGCCTCCACCAGGCACCCACGCCTCTCCGCATCCTGCAGCAGCTGCGCCCACATGCTGTCTCCTCTTCGCAGCGTGTGTGTGTCGCCCACCACCCAGAGAGTGTGGCGCGCGCGGGTGATGGCCACGTTCAGACTGGCTTGCCCGGGGTTGTGGCGGGGAGGAAGGAAGGAGGTGGTGTTAGGGACAAGGGGAGGAGCAAGAGCAAGGGTGGACGAAACGGGAACCGTGCATCAAGATTGCAAAAAGGAAAAGGATAGATACGGGTGGGAACCTGAATCCTACCATCTGTCAGTGAAAACTCATCAACGACAAGGCATAAAAGAAAAGAAGGTGCCAGTAGCACTGGAGCGAATACCGCCGACAACAATGACCGACAACAGCGAAAACAGCATCGTGAGAGAGAGAGCCTAACCTACCGCCTAGGATCTGCGACAAATCCGATGGTGCCCGAACTGTTGGAGCGAACGGTGCTGATAACAACAACGTAACACTCCCTGCCCTGGAACCCGTCCACTGTGTTAACTTCCACAGTCAGGGAGGGCCACGGCTTGGCCTCCACGGCGCGCTGCAACAGCTCCACCTGGCGGGCATATGGCGAGATGAGCCCCACCTTCACAGCCCCGCCCTCCTTGCATCTGCATGCTGCACGCACATTGGGAGCGGGACACCAATGCCCATGAGCCATGTGCCATGCAGGGTGGTGGACATGGGAGTAATGCCGGCTGGACCGAGAGATGAGACTTCTGAGATGCTTCGTAGCTGCATGGGCTAGGAATCGAGACTAGGATCCGAAAGGCAATAGCAGGCAGTGGGGGGGGCGAAGGCGAATCGGACCAAGCGGCTGAACGAAGAGGGTGGATAGCAGAGGGCAGAGCGCACCATTGGAGAGGCGTGCGAGCAGAGCGATCACGACGGCAGCTTCAACCGAATTGGCAACGCTGCGACTGCCTGCATCCACAGCCACAGAGTCCCTCTCTTCACGCCCCCTCACATGGAAGAACCTGTACGGGCCAAACAGCAGATGCAGGTGCGGAGGGCAGTGCGAGGGCTGGCACACGTTGGGGCCGTCTTCGATGCGGCCGTGGTAGAAGCAGAGCGAGGGGAAGCGGCTGATGTCCGGGTGCATGCGGTACTGCACGCTCAGCAGCTCTGCGTGCCACCCAGTGCTCTGCAGGCGCTCAAACAGGCTGCGGTTGTAGTGGCCTTGCACTGCCACCTGCGGGTGCGGAGTGAAGGAGCAGAAACGGCGAGGGCGTGCAAGTGATGGGATACGGATTGGAGTTGCGGGTGTGATGTCGGAATTCTATAATAGGTGGGACCAGTGGTCATACTCCTCATGCTCATGCCCTAGACACATGCACACACACACCCACATACACCGGCATGACTGTCTAGTCCAGCAGCCTCGCCTCCAGGCCATTAATCCACGTATGCTACTGCCAACACCACCATGCAACCCTGTCACTCACGTCGCTTCTAAAGCCGGGCGCACTGACCTTGCTCATGACGGTAGCAGGCAGCTGCTTGGGGTCCCCCACCAGGACAGCATAGCGCAGCCCGCGCGCCTGCAGGGCCACCAGAGACTCCGCCTCCACCAGCTGAGCCGCCTCGTCCAGCAGCAGCAGTGGGAAGTGGCCGGAACAGCGGACGAGAGCCCGGGCAGAGGAGGAGACGGTGGAGAGGACGAGGCGTGCGCCTGCCATGCACTGAGCGGCCACGGTGGCAGCTGATGGGTTGCTGCTGAGGGTGGGGATGTGGAAGGCGGGGCTCTGCTTGCCGATGTGCTTCAGGTGGCGGCGGATGGAGTGGAAGAGGCGCTCGGCTTGCGGGAGAGAGATGCACACATGCACATCCCTGGTTGAGCTGCTGGCGGCAGTGGAGTCGTTGCTAATGGCAGAAGACTGGCTGGTGCTGGCAGTGGCGTTGGCAGCGGCTGATGGGTCCTCTTGCTCCCAACCTAAGCATCCTGCCAGCCCAGCTGGAAGTCTTCCTGATTTCGCCACACCTGTGAGCATCCTCAAAAGGAGCAAGAAGCCCAGCAGCCTCGTGTAGAACAGAGGATATGCTGAACTCGAAGCCATCCTCCTCCTGTGTATGTGACCCATCAAGCCAGCTTAGCACAGCATCCGATGAGAGCCCTGGGCAAAGCAGAAGCTGCTGCAAGGCTGCCATCAGCTCACCCGCCTGCAGCAGCAGCACACGCTCGCGCTCTGGCAAAAGGGCGGACGGCAGATCGTAAGCCAGGCTCACAGCGCCCTCCATAGCCGGATCAACGAGCTGAGCCACACGCTCCTGGAAGAACTCAAGCAGGTTTGGAAGGCCTTCTGTCCCGTTCTTGCTTACCGTCTTGCTATCACTCCAACCAAGTTCCTCTTTGATCCTTGTCTCCAGCACCTTTAAGTGCGCCTGGTGGACCCGACTCATTTCCTCCTCGGAGGTTTCAAGAAAGCTCATCAGCGTGAGCACAGACGATCTCCAGCCTGACTGCAAAGACAAAGCTCCTAGCAGCCGCGTTACCCGTCCACAGCACACACCCCCCTTCCGCTTCAGAAACGCCCGAGGCTCCCTCCTCCTCCCTTCCCCTAGGAGAATAGAATCCAGCTCTGGGTCTACCACCAGCCTTTCTTCATTCGCCACCAGGACAATATCTCCAACGTGCAGCCGCCCTCCAGCCAAGAAGGCCTTCTCAAACTGAAACGGCCATCCGTCTGGAAGCCGCTGCTGCTGCTGCTGTGACTGGTAGTAACCTGGGAAGTGGGAGGACGGGTTGGGCGAGGCGCAGCATTCGCCTGGCGACTTCAGCTGCGGCCACGTTGGTGGGCGCACAGACGAGAGTGCGAACACCAAGAGCAAGCGCAACAGAGAGGAGCACGGAGAGCGTGTGGGTCTTTCCTGTGCCGGGCGGGCCTTGCACGAGCTGCAGCAGAGGAGGGGCCGCACTGAAGAGAGAGGAGGAGGAGGACGACAATGACAAGAAGGATGAGGAAAAGGAGAAGGGCGAAATGGGGCCAAGAGGAAAGGACAAGTTGCTGGTAGGAGCAGCGTCAGTGCTGGCTGAAAGGAGGCCTCTAAGGCAAGTGAGGACTGCGGATCGCTGGGGATGGTTAAGACGACGTGACGTGCAGAACTGAGAAACAGCTTGTAGGAGGTGCGGAATGTGCTCGGGAGCGATAGAAAGGGCCGGCACGGACGTGGAGGCACTCTGAGAAGAAGCAGCAGGGGAGAGCACGGAGGGCAGGAAACAAGGGGGGGGGGGGGGAGCGCAATCCGGTGTTGCTGAAGGCAACTGACATGAAATCACATCACACAAGTCAATCCTCAAAGAGTGGCAGAATGTGCAAAGAATTGCATGAAATGCATAGCTGTTTCATGGTCACCATGCATGCAGGCCTTACCTCTCTCTGTTCTCGTCCTCCCCTCTTAATTCCCGCCCTTAGGCCACCATCTTCCGGCCTCTGCTCCGATCCCAGCAGTCCCCTGAACATCCTCCGCCTCCAATTTCCCTCCACCTCCTCCTCCACAGTGCCTGCGCCACCCCTTCCTAGCTCCCCCGCCTCAAGCACCGGATCATGCAGAGCATCCCACACGCGCTGCGGTGTTGCCAAGCTACCCACCAAGGTCACATACCACGACGCACCACCTGCACACTCCCCCCCGTCCACTGCCCCAACCAGGCCCTGATACTCGGGCGAATCCTCTGAAGTGCAAATCCTGGCCCAGAAACAGCGATCGCCGTCTCCATCCTCCCCGGACGAGTTTCTCTCCGCAAGAAGGACAGCAAGGCGATACAGCACCCCCGGGCGGAGCAGATCCGTGGGGGCAGAGGAGGCCACAGTGGACAGCAGCACCACATCTGTGGGCTTCAGCCTCAGCCTTGCTGCACCTCCCCACTGCAGCTTCGCTGCTGCCCCAGCGGCCCCTGCAGGCTGCTGCTGCTGCACTTCAAAGCGCACGTAGCAGAATCTCTCCGTTTCAGAGCACGCATCCGTCGAGTGTGCCTCCCCTGCGGCGCCTCCCAGCTGCCCTCTGCACCGACCGATCGGCTGGCCATGTGGCACCATGCGCCACGGGGGTGCGATCTCATCCAACGCACTACCGTGCACTGAACGCCCGAGGACCTCGCCCTGGCAGTAGTCGTCATCACCAGAGTAACTCACAAACTGCCGCTGCCAGTCATCCCTCTCCACCTCGCCGCATCCATCCGCTCTCGCTGCCCGCCCATCACCATCCCTCTGCACCACTTTGACCACGATTCGTGTGGAGGCAGCGGCAGGAAGCTGTTCAAGGCCGCGCTTGAGCCCCACACGGCACTCCTCCAGCAGGGGCCAGCGGAAGGCAGACAGGTACGAGGGTACATCCGGAAAGGTGGTTGGTATGGGCCGTACCTGCAGCACACAGGACAGCTTCAGAAGAGATTATGAAAGGAGAGAGGGGCTTGGGCGTGGTGCGGATGGCAAGGCATGGATCAGGTTCCAGTTAGAGTAGACAACGGTGATAGAACCTGACCGGTGCTAGAGCGAGCCTATGGGGAAAGAAAACCAATCTCGCTGCAAAAATCAGTCAGGCTAATCAAGCGCCACAGGTGCCAACCGCCACAGGCTACTCACGAATCGCATGTCATTTCTCAATGAAGGCGGCCTTCTTGTCGCCTCACCTTCTCTCGGAGCAGCTCGTCGTTAAAGATGTCCTCGATGTTCCACGTCAGCACGAGCTGCTCCAGCTGGCAACCCCGTGTTGGCACCGCTACATCCTTCCCTGCCATGCGGTGCTGGAACCCTCGAATTCACGGACGCCCTCTTATCTTGGGAGATGGCTCCCAGATTTCGCTTGCAAGAACTCCACGACTTCGACGGCGAATCCAACAGGTTAGACGGTTTCCAAGTAATGGTGCAATACCGCGCACGAGCCTCGGAGCCTTCGCACAAGTGCGAGCCTCGGAGCTTGGAGCCTCGGAGCTTTTGCACAAGTGCGAGCGCGGAAAAGAAAATAAATCTTTGAGTCGTCCGCTCAGAAGTGGCTTTATCGGCCGCTAAAGACGCACCCAGGGAGGCTGTACGGCGAGATGTGACAGCGAAAAAGCCGAGAAAATGCCACAGAAGTAGAGGCCAATAGTTTCGCTTATGAACATGTGAGGAGCAAGCCAATAAGTCATCGTGCACGCTTCCGCCGAATCCCCTTGCTCCGTGCATTGCGGCTCGACCCTTATTCATGGAACGGAATGCTAGGAACTCGCGGAGACGCGACGTTGAGCGAAGGCGTGAACTAGGAGAGAGGGAACCAGAGGGACGATAACGGAGCATGATGGCATGCCTTCGTCGCGGCCACCGAGGTGGTCCGTAGAACCCTCTGGCTGGGCCAATACGGTTTCTGTTGAAAGGCGCCATGCATGAACGGCGCTGCGGGAATTGCCAGGACGACGCACGATATTGCAGAATCTCACGGGGAAAGGAGCCAGTGGGTGGTATTGTACGAAGCTGGCTGGGAAGGCGGAAGAGGTTGCTGGTGCGATTCGTGAAGACTGTACACCGTGCTGCTTCGCTGCTACACTCCCGGAAAGGCCATTAAAACCTCTTGCACCCTGCCGCTTGGCTCCATTGGAATGAGAGCCAAGTTGTTCCAGCTCAGATGATGTTGCCCGAATCACTGAAAGGAGGAAGGCAGGGGAAGGTGGGAAATTGGGGGAGTGTTCGAAGGAGCGGCGGATGGACCATGAGGCAAGAGGGCCGAACACCGGAGTGAGAAGGGAAGACGAGGCAAGAGGACTAACAGTGGTCCCAAGCACGATGAGGTAATTTCACTCGAAATCTGTGAGATCGGTTGATGAGGGCTCCGGTAGACCGTGAAACTTACGACACGATGCAGATGAAGGCTTTCTAGTTGTACAAGATGAAAATGATGCAAATTGCTTCTTAGTCCTACTTCCTCGTCTCCTCACCTGCCAGCGAGGACAGACTGGTCGCCGAGAGGCTGGCAGCACGTGAGGCCGCCACCTGGACAGTGTTGAGACGCCAGCTCATCACCGCCCATACGCATCTGACGAGAGCCAGGTGGCAGAGGTGGAGGGAGGAGGATGAGACGGCGGCGGGATGAGTAGAGGCCAAATGAGCTGCGCATCATTGAGCTTACCACGATCTGTGCATGGTGGGTGCTTTTGAGAATCCTCTAAAACACCATGCTGTCACTGTGAGCCTTAAAGCCCTCGAACCCCTTAAAGCCTCACCTCCAGCACTCTGAGTCCCCCTGTGGAGTCAGCAGTGGTAATGTGGAGACCCCCGTATGAGAACACCAGCCCTGTTACTGCTAGCGGCGATGTGGGGGCAGTGGTGGTGAGAGGGGAGAGGCGGCAGCTCCATGGGACAGAGGCCGAGGGGGGTGCTCGCATGTCCCACAGCAGCACAGCGCCTGGAGGGAGACGAAGTGGGGGAGGGATCATGCGGGAGGGACTGATGAGGGCTCATAGGTCAGGGGGGTAGGAAGTAAAGTGAATGGATGGTGATACAGGAATTAACTCACAGGTCCTTTCGAATGGACTCACAAGTCATTTTGAGTTGACTCTGAATAAAAAAAGATGGAGGAAGGGTTGTTAGACAGAGCGAGTAGATGGAGGTACAGGAGGGGGATTCCACAGGACGGAAATCTTGGTGGTAACGAAGAAGGCAAGTTGTTGAATGATTTCAAAATGGCCATGAAACACAGATGAGGACAAACACACTGCAGAAGAAAGCGTGCCAGGGAGGAGTTTGAGAGCACGAGTTGCTCAGTTCAGATCAGATAACATTTGCTCCTGAGTGACTGAAAACGCTTGGAGGCCCAAGTGTACCACGTTCAAATGCAAGACTCCAAACGCGTTTACGATTCACTTGGATCTGTCCCTTCACTGAGCTGTCACTCTCTCACCATTGGCTGAACCTGAGGCAGCAAGGGGCCATGCTGACATGGCAGGGATGGCCACTTGGAGCAATGTGATTGGTGCGTCGTGCTGATTGAGCTCCGCTAGAGGAGGTGGGTGGACTGGTGAGAAGAGATGATGGGAAGGAGGATGGAAGGAGAGGGAACGAGTACAGAAGGAAGGCGGAAGGAGGGCAAAAATATGGAGGTGCAATGAGGGAGGAAGGGGGGGGAAGGAGAAGACAATGAAGCAGGTTTGAGGATAGGGTGTGATTTGGTCGTCTGATGGAGCTCCATCATAGAGAGGTGGAGAGGTGGGGAGATTCAGTGAGGAAGAGGAAGGACAAATAGGGGGAAGAGGGAGAAAGGGGGCACATAGAAGAAGAGAAGAGCGATCATACCATGCTGAGATGAGAGGAGTGGGCATAGATTGCATTGTCTCACTCACTCACACACCTGTTCTGTCTGAGCCACCATGTCAACGCAGGGAGGAGGAGAAGGAGAAGGGGCATGAGTGTGATGGACTGACCTGTTGTGCTGGAGCCAGCATGGGAGTGCGGGGAGGAAGAGGAGAAGGGGGAGTAGGGCGAGCATAGGATAGGGGTGGGGATGAGAAGAATGAGGAGGGACTTTGGTGCGGCTGGACTGACCTGATGTGTCGGAGCCAGCGTGGGAGTGGGGGGAGGAGGAGGAGAAGGAGGCGAAGGGCGAGGCGGAGAGGAAGGGCGAGTGGGCCATGCTCCACTGCTTCACACTGCCGTCCCATGATGCTGTGAACAGACACGTCTCAGCGCCCCATTGGCTGACCTGAATGCATGACACCGTGTCATCGTGTGCGTGCATCTGATGACGGTAGGGTGTAGAGGGTAGGGCAGGGGGCGGGAAGGGCAGGCGGAGAGGAGGAACGCAAGGCATGGGAGGGAAGGGGCGGGAGGGAAAAGGCAGGAGGAAAGGGACAGGGGAGCATTGACAGAGTGGCGAACGAGAGGGTAGCTTTCAAGGCTGATATGTATGCATGACAGCGTGATCATGTGAATGCACACAGCGGCATGCATGACACACAGAGGCATGGCGTACCTTGGAAAGAGGCGTACCTTGGAGAGGCATCGGCCGAAGTCAGGCGAGTAGAGCCACACGTGGTCGTCTGATGAGCCCAGCAGCACAGACTGGTGGGAGAGGCCGGGTGAGGAGCAGAGCAGAGCAGAGGTGAACTGTGATGGCAGCAGAGGAGGAGAGATAGGCTTGTGGCGTGTGGCAGCATGGGGAGAAAAGAGGTGTGGGATTACATGGGACAGGGCCGGACGGGAAAAGCATACCGAGAAGCACGTTTCAGAAGGAACGTGCGTAGAAGCAGTGGGAGGAACACCAACACACACGTTAAAAAGGGCAAAAGGACGGAGGCGTTATAAGTGGGAAGAATCTCAACTGGGTAGCAGTGGGAGGGAAGGGGCGGCAGCAGCGCCATGCTGGCCAATGGGAGGCTGCCAACTCGCGCTGACCTCAGCTGCTGCTGCGACTCCACTGAGAAGACCTGATTGGTGGAGGGCGGATTGCAGGGCGAGAGGATCAGAGGAAGACGTTGAGAGGTGAGCAGTGGTGAGCAGCAAGTCATGTGACTCTGCATGCTCTGCCAGCGCCACTGCCACCACCACCCCCCAATGCGCCTTCACCCACCTCACACTACCAACACACCAAGAGCGCTCCTCACCTTCACCATGCCATCAGCACCCGCTGTGGTGAGAAGCAAGTCGTGTGACTCTACATGTTCTGCCAGTGCCACTGCCACCACCGGCCCCCGATGCGCCTTCACCCTCCGCACTCTCGCCCTCCTCCTCCCGCTACCGCTGTTGCTCCTGCTCGTCTCACTGCTACCTATGCCACCTTCTCTTCGGCTCGCCTCGCCATTCCTGTTGCTGCTCACTGCACTGCTCACTCCGCTGCTTTCCATGCTGCTTCTGCTGCCACCCCCCTTGACACTCCCTTCACTCTTACCCGTGCTACTACCACCAGAGCACGGTTCCACAGGTGAGGGCTGAAAGGCAGGGAAGGGCGCAGTAGGGGAGAAGGGAGGCGAGCAGACAGGCGGCTCTTCCCGTCCTCGTCCCACACCAACCTCCCCCAGCCACTCCCTTAGAGCCACCATTTCCTCGCCCTCCCTCATCGCTGCTTCTCTTGCAAACCCCGGTGTGGATCTCGGCCCTATGGCAGCATCTGCCGCATTACCTGCAGCACCCACAGCACCCACAGCACCCACAGCACTAACCGCACTCACTGCACTGGCAGCACGTGCAGCAGCTGTGGCAACCTTACCCTGAGCTGCTCGCCTGGCGTTGAAACTGCCCAGCCCCACCGCCCCCTGCAGAGCCTTCAGCCTCCCACTCTCGACTTCTTCTGCTGCCATTCCGCCAGTATTCATCATGCCACCTGTGCCACCTGTCTCGCTGCTTCCACCCTCAGCCTCGCCAGCTGTGCTGTCTGACGTGGCGCTGACCTGGCGCATTACACTGGTAATATCTGCAGCTGGCGCTGACGGTGCTGGTGCTGCTGGCTCTAGTAATGCTGCTCCTTCTACTCTTGCTCTTGCTGTTGGCGTCTGCTCTTGCTGTTGCCGTTCCTTCAGTTGTCTCTAACCTCATGCCAGCTGTAGCTGTTGCCCCTGCTCCTGGCACTGCAGCACCCAGTGCTTCTGCTGACACTTCTCCTGCTGCCAGTGCTGCTGACACATCTCCAACCTCGGAACGCAAAACACTCGCTGCTGCTGTTGCTGCTGCTGCTGCTCCAGGTACCGCTGCTGCATCATCTACGGTCCATCCGGTATCAGTGCTAGCAGCAGCATCTCTGCTGGTAGCAGAACCAGCCACAACACTTCCACTGGTGGTGGCCAGAGCAGCACTGGTGCCACCACTACCACTGGTGGTTAGAGTGGCGCCAAACGCACAAGAATCAACACTTTTGCTGCCATCAGCACCACTGCCAGCAACAGCATCAGGAGAAGCAGCAGCAGGAGAAGCAGCAGGAGCAGCAGTGACATCAGCAGCAGTAGCACCAGCAGCAGCGGCGGCGGAGGGCAGGAGAGGCAGGAGGCGCATGAGAAGGTGAACAGAGGTGGAGGGGTCGCAGGAGGGTAGCGACTCAACGCTGGGTGAGGCGCGTGGAGAGCGCTGCGGGTGGGGATGGATGAACAGCTGCCTTGGCGTTTGACCAAACTCGTTGATCTGATAAGCTATGTTGGAATATACGCGTTTGTCGTATATACGCGTTTCGTATATACGCAAGCGTGTATACTCTATACGCTCAAACCTCAGATCGGGGATACGCTTTTCCGGGCAGGCAAAAAAAACCACGGGCAGGGGGGAAAAAGTTTCTGGTATGGTTTTGGAGGGGGGGCATTTCATGGGCTTTGTGAGTCGGGTGGTATTTTTTCCAGAGATTAACTTACCAACATGAACATACACAGCGTATTGCGTATGAGTGGGCGTTTAGCGTTTTACGCATATACACTAGCGTGCAAACGCTAAACGCAAAGGGGTCTGGGCGTATATTCCAACATAGCTGATAAGGGCATTTGGGAAACGGTGGACAAAAGGGCAACTGAGAAATGATGAGCAAAAGGGTGGAATTTTAGCAGACTCAACATGCGGGTGGGGACGCAGGAAAGAGTTGCTGTGGCATTGACCAAACTCGTGATCTGATGGCGACGTTAGGAGAACGATGTGATTTGAGCGGGGGAGGGAGATGGTTGAGTAAGAGTAACGACGGTGAGGCAAGAAACCATCACCATCACAGGAATGCAATGCAGACACTAGAAGCTAAAGAACAGAACAGACCAGATACAGTACATGCCTATTTTATGCATTGCACATGACGTAGCACCTGTGTCTCAGCATCATGCATCTGAACCTTTCTGTCCCATAGCACCATGCTGATATAATTTCTAAGGCACCTCAGCACCATATCATCTGTGTTTCTGTCAACTTCAAGCATCACAAATCCATCCCACAGAACAGCACCTGAGTTTCGAAGCCTCTCCTCTCCACAAAGCTGCTGAGCGAGTCAAGCTCCACTGCACCCTCGTAGGTGAGCGGGTGGAAGAGATTGTCCGCCTCCTCTGCTGCCTGGTGGGTTAGGGAGTGAGGGATTGGAGTGAGAGAGAGTGAGGGTACAAAAGTTCAAAACTGTTAAGCACAACACACAAGCTGCTGAGCGAGTCGAGGTCCACTGCACCCTCGTAGGTGAGCGACATGGAGTGAGCGATGGGAACAGATTGTCTGCCTCCTCTGCTGCCGGGTGCGTTCGACATGGAGTGAGCGATGGGATGGGAGTGAGAGACAGAGGATACAAAACTAATAGTAGGAACAAGACATGCTGAGCGAGTCACGGTGCACTGCGCGCCCTCATAGGTGAGGGGGAGAAAGAGGTTGTCCGCCTCCTCTGCTGCCTGGTGCGAGGTAGAGCAAGGCAGAGAAGTCAGAGAGAAAACGATATTTCAAAGGTGGTCCACTGCACCTTCGTAGGCGAGCGCGGGTGGAGGAGAATGGTGTGTTAGAGAGGTGCAGTGAGGGATGGGGGTGAGTGTGGAAGTGAGGGAGTGAGAGAGGATACGAAACTGTTAAGTCAAAGGTGGTCACTAAGTCGAGGTCCTCTGCGCATGCACAGCTGAGTGCGCAAACATTTTTTTCGCGTCGTTCGCGTCCTCTGTCGCAGAGACGTTTTTTTAGGCGCCTAAAAAATCGCCCTCTGCGGAAAGAGAAAGCAATGGCATAGCATGATCAAATGGCCCGTCTATGGGAGTTGATACGAGAGAGCAGTAGCAGCACCTTGCCTCGCTGCTTGTATCCGAAAATCAGATCGATCCAATGGTGGAGATTCGCCGACACCCACTCGCACTCCAGAGCCTGCACGTGCTTCACTACGAAATCCTCTGCATCCCTCGCCCTGGCAGAACATAATGGGTGAGTGGAGGAGTACAACGGTGGAGAGTGGTAGAGAGAGGTGGAGAAGAATGGGGGTGGTTTTAAGGTGCAGTTAGATAGGGCAGTTGTCAGGTGAATGCTTGTGTTTTGAGTCGACTCAAAACATAAGACATTTTGAAACAGAAGCGCAGCAGAATTAGCGACAAAAAGAGTGGTCACATAACAGATGGAACGGAAGCGCATCAGCTAATGCAAGCAAGGCAAGCAAAGACCCAATGCAATGCCTCATATTCTACTTACGTTGGCCGAATCCTTGGCAGTGGCACCACAACATGCACTACCAACGCAGACTTTGAATCGACTTTCAGGGCACGAAGAAACAAAAAGGGGGGACGCACCAAGGAGGCAGCTCCACATCGCCGATTGGCACTCCGTTCTGGCGTGTGCCTAGATTGAGGTCCGACCTGAAACGTGACGGTGCGCGGGAGAGAGGGTGGGGAGATGAGGGTGCGAATAGGACACTTAATCAAGAAAAGAGACATACTGTAGCCACGCCACGCCATGCCATGCCACGCCATGCCATGCCATGCCATGCCACGCCACGCCATGTCATGCCATGCCATGCCACGCCACGCCATGCCATGCCATGCCATGTCATGTGAAGGGTAAGATGTACATAGTGGTGATGGAATGGAGGGGGGAAAGGGTGAGGATGCAAGGAAAGGGAGAACACAATACCACTAGCAAAAAGGGTAGACTCAGGTAGGCTCAGGTAGGCTCAGGTAGGCTCAGGCAGACTCAGGTAGGCTCAGGTAGGCTCAGGTAGGCTCAGGTAGGCTCAGGTAGGCTCAGGTAGGCTCACTCACGGGAGGCGGAGGAAGTGTGCTGGGAGTGAGAAAAAGTGGGGGATGAGCTCCTTGACATCTGTGGCGTTGGACAGCACACTCTCCCACGACTCCTGTAGCCCCGTGAACAGCCGATCAGGCGAGTCAAAGCGGCCGTTCTGAGGGGGGGAGGCGGGGGGTTGGGGAGATTCATAAGGCGCCTTAAAAAAAGACAGCACACTCTCCCACGACTCCTGTAGCCCCGTGAACAGCCGATCAGGCGAGTCAAAGCGGCCGTTCTGATGGGGGAGGGGGGGTGGTGGAGGGAAGAAGGGGGTGGGGAGATGGGGTGGAGAGGGATGGAGATAAAGCCTGCGACTCCTGCAGGCCTGTGAACAGCCGGTCCGGGGAGTCAAAGCGGCCGTTCTGATGGGGGAGAGGGGGGAGTGGTGGAGGGGAGAACAAGGGGGAGTGGGGGAAGGTGGGGGTGTTGGGGTGATGGAAAGGGAGGCAATTTTGAAATGGAGAGTTGAGCAGAGAACATAAAGGTCTTAACCAGCTGCAGCAAGTCCGGTGCGTGTCAAAGTTGTTAGTTGGATTGAAAGTTCACCTTACGGTATGAGTAAGTGTAAGATAGTTGAGCTGGATGGAAAGTTGTAAACGAGTTGACTTTTGAGTCGACTAAAAAGTCAACTCGATAGTTGAGCTGGATGGAAAGTTGTAAACGAGGAGTGCAATCAGGTGGTCTGTGAGACACGAGCACTTCTTTTACGCAGTTTGCCGGTAGTTTTTGTGAGCGAAACACATGGTGTTTGTGAGAGTGTGGAGATCACTCACACTGTGTACGAGTGTGGAAGCGACAGTGTGGAGTTAAGTGTACAGTGGAGAGAGATAAGGGCGGGTGACTCACCTTGTCGGAGATTACCTCTTCCTCACCTCATCCCTTGGCCGATTTCTCCCTTGCTCCTCTCACCCTTCTTCCTCATGTTCCTTCTCTGCTTGCCCGCAGGCCCTGAGTGCTTCTGTCTCAGCCACTACCATGAGAGATTCCCTCTCCCACACGATGGCTGCCCACAGTGGCTTAGCTACCTTGCTGGAGTTAGCTTGAAACGGCAACTTAGATCCACTATATGAATGAGGCAAACAAAACGATAGAACAGGTTCAAGTGGCTAGGCTAGGCTACTTTATTCCCACCCTGGGTCTTGGCTATTTCCACAGCCTTGAGTTGGGTTCGGGTCGCCTTGTGCCCTTATTAGTCGCTGCAGATTTCCTGTTCCTCGAGGCGCTTGGTACTCCTCCCAATGTCCCCAATTCCCCATGCCACCAACTTCGCGTCATTCCCCCTTGCCCCAACGACCCCAAACTAAAGTTCCATAACCCAACCATACACCCATCTACACCAACTCTAGCATGCAACAGAATATATTGTTCTTACCACTATATTCGGTGACAACCTGCAGCCGCAGCATGTGTGCTGGTGCAGAGCGCACGAGCCGGTAGAGCACGTAACTGCATGCGTGCGTGCGTGCGTGCGTGCGTGCGTGCGTGCGTGTGTGCGTGCGTGCATGCGTGGGCGGGAGGCATATGTGTGTGTGGAGGGCGACTCACCTGCAGCCGCAGCATGTGTGCTGGTGCAGAGCGCACGAGCCAGTAGAGAACATAGCTGCATGCGTGCATCGGGGGCACATGTGACACATGTGGGTTGGATTGGGGATACAAGGGTCGGGGGACATGCAATGCAGCGGTAGACATGGCATGGCTGGACGGTGGTTGCATGCAAAAGAAGGCAAAAGCAGAAAGGGTTCAGTGCACCCGGAGCGAAAGAGCAGGGAGCGAAAGAGCAGTGAGCGAAAGAGCAGGGAGCGAAAGAGCAGTGAGCGAAAGAGCAGTGAGCGAAAGAGCAGGGAGCGAAAGAGCAGGGAGCGAAAGAGCAGTGAGCGAAAGAGCAGGGAGCGAAAGAGCAGGGAGCGAAAGAGCAGGGAGCGAAAGAGCAGGGAGCGAAAGAGCAGGGAGCGAAAGAGCAGGGAGCGAAAGAGCAGGGAGCGAAAGAGCAGGGAGCAAAAGAGCAGGGAGCGAAAGAGCAGGGAGCGAAAGAGCAGGGAGCGAAAGAGCAGGGAGCGAAAGAGCAGGGAGCGAAAGAGCAGGGAGCGAAAGAGCAGGGAGCGAAAGAGCAGGGAGCGAAAGAGCAGGGAGCGAAAGAGCAGGGAGCGAAAGAGCAGGGAGCGAAAGAGCAGGGAGCGAAAGAGCAGGGAGCGAAAGAGCAGGGAGCGAAAGAGCAGGGAGCGAAAGAGCAGGGAGCGAAAGAGCAGGGAGCGAAAGAGCAGGGAGCGAAAGAGCAGGGAGCGAAAGAGCAGGGAGCGAAAGAGCAGGGAGCGAAAGAGCAGGGAGCGAATGAGCAGGGAGCGAAAGAGCAGGGAGCAAAAGAGCAGGGAGCGAAAGAGCAGGGAGCGAAAGAGCAGGGAGCGAAAGAGCAGGGAGCGAAAGAGCAGGGAGCGAAAGAGCAGGAAGCGAAAGAGCAGGGAGCGAAAGAGCAGGGAGCGAAAGAGCAGGGAGCGAAAGAGCAGGGAGCGAAAGAGCAGGGAGCGAAAGAGCAGGGAGCGAAAGAGCAGGGAGCGAAAGAGCAGGGAGCGAAAGAGCAGGGAGCGAAAGAGCAGTGAGCGAATGAGCAGGGAGCGAAAGAGCAGGGAGCGAAAGAGCAGGGAGCGAAAGAGCAGGGAGCAAAAGAGCAGTGACGGTACACCCGGCCCTTTCAGTGTACCATCGAGGAGGCAGTCATCATTACAAAGGAATGTGAAGCCGAAAGGGCCGGCGTATGACTCTTGAGTCGACTCAAAAGCTACCATTGAGGAGGCTGCCATCTTTACAAAGGAATGGGGAGGGGGGAGGGCAGTGGGGAAAGGAAAAGAGGGGAGAGATGGGGGAGAGTGGGGGAGACTGTCTTGAAAATGGCATGTAACGGCTGTCAAGGGATGGAAGAGAGGAGAGGGGAGAGGGGAGAGGGGAGAGGGGAGAGGTAAGGGGAAGGTGACGAGTGGAGAGGGAGTTGAGTCACAGTAAGGATATCACCTGCACCAGATGTCACCTGCACCAGATGTCACCTGCAACGGATATCACCTGCACCAGACGTCACCTGCACCAGTTGTCACCTGGAAGTAAAGCCGCTGCTGTGTGATCACAAGGCGGCCCGGCTCCCGAACCAGAGGCCGAACCTGGAGGTGAGGACCGGAACGGGCACAAAAAGTGCAATGGATGGGTTGAAAGAGAGCCTTCACGGCCAGTAGATTCACGGAAAGGCAGCCAAGACAACCAGCACCCTGAGCTCGCCTCTCCCTAATTTCCACTAGTCAGCCAGCAAAGACAACAGGCAGGCAGCAGAGACAAAGCTGTAGATGCACTATAGATGATGGCAGGCTCTAGCCATTAGTCATGGGGGCTCGCACATAGGGCGCTTCACATGTATCTTGCTGACCGGGCAGTCCAGGAGGGAGTAGCAACAGCCAACTTGACTTGAGTTGACTCCCGTTGACCCGCGTTGACTCACACTGACCCACCAGGCACGCCACACGCACCTCGGAGGCGAGGCAATCAAGCAGGATGTGTTCGGAGAGGTCCACGAGGCGGCTCACGTCAAAGGGCGCCGAGGTGAGTTGACTCACGTTGACCCGCGTTGACCCCCGTTGACCTGCGTTGACCCGCGTTGACCCACCTGGGAGGCGAGGCAGTCGAGGAGGATGTGTTCGGAGAGGTCCACAAGGCGGCTGACATCAAAGGGCGCCGACGCCTCCATGAGGGACAGGCGGCGTGCCACCTCCATGTCCCTCTGCTCGTACGGCAGCAGCTGCACTCCCAGCACAGGTAGGGCTTCGTCTAAGAGCTGGTGATGCAATGCGGAGATGGGGGAAAGGAGTGTGTGTGGGGTGGGGGAATGTGGGAACGAGGGGAAATGAGGGACATGCGCCGCACCGCCTCCATGTCTCGCTGCTCGTACGGCAGCAGCTGCGCACTGGCAGCGCCTCGTCTAGGAGGTGGTGAGGAGGGATGCATGCACGGGGAGTGAGGGATGTGAGAGGCAAGTGACAGGAGGGGTCAGAAGGCACCTCCATGTCCCGCTGCTCGTATGGCAGCAGCTGCACCACCCCCAGCACTGGCAGCGCCTCGTCTAATAGCTGGAGAGGGGGAAGGGCGGATGGTGGAATGTGGGATGGGGGAACGGGAGGGACTGGGGGCTCAGCAGGCACCTCCATGTCTCGCTGCTCGTATGGCAGCAGCTGCACTCCCAGCACTGGCAGCGCCTCGTCTAGGAGCTGATGAAGGGGAAGGGATTGGGGACGGTAGGGGGGAGAGGGGGGGGGGGGGGGGGGGGGGGGGAACGGAGCGCAGAAGCTACAGAGAAGGTTCGGAATGAAAACGGGCGGAGAGGAGGAAGGGAAGGGTGGCCTAGACGAGTGTTGGTATAGTATAGAGTGACAAACAAGGGATGGATGGGGGTTCAGGTTGGTAACGTACAGCATCAAATGCACTGGGCGTACCCGGGAGGTGAGAAGCTACAGCGGTTATATACCTGCGAGATAGGGGGTTACAGTGGTTATCCACCCGCAAGATGGGGGGCTATAGTGGTTATATACCCGTGAGGTGGGCGAGTAGTCAAGGGAGAAGGCCCACGTGGAAGGCAGGTGGCCCTCGTCGGGCTCCTTCCCATTGCACTGCTTGCTGTGGCACCTCAATAACATCTGACCTACACGAGTGGCAGTAACCTGCTTCACGTATACACATGGCAGGGGGCTGGATTGAAGCATGCATACCCGTGAGGTGGGCGAGTAGTCAAGGGAGAAGGCCCACGTGGACGGCAGGTGGCCCTCGTCGATCTCTTTCTTCTCAAACTCGTACGGCACGTCCTGCCCACACGCCTTCATTGCCACGTACATGCCTGTTGTCACATACACCACATCCCCATACCCCTTATCTCCCCCATACCCCCCATCCCCATACGCATTCCCCAGCCTTCCCCCATCGCTCCTCCGTCCTCCGCCCCGACCTCCGCCAAACCCGCCGTTTTCGCCGCTTTCCCCGTCCCCCCCGCCCGCCCCCGCGCCTTCCCCCGCCCACTCCGCGCGGATGCGCCCCTCCGCGGCGAGTTTCGCGCCCAGCTGCGAGCGGTACTGGCGGCGCGACGCGGGGTGGAAAACGACTAGTATGTGCGGCATGGGGAACATTATAATGGGGATGGCGGGGTCCTGCGGCTCGAAGAAAAGCGACCTCATGCACAGCCGCAGCCGCCCGCCGGCGAGCGCGCGCGGCTGGCCATCCACGAGGTGACACGTGGCGACCCAGTCGGTTATGTAGTGGTCCCCGTCGTCGAGCAGGAGGAGCGAGAAGCGCTGATGGCCCTTGCGACGCGCTGCGCCGCTCAGCATGTTGGTTGAGGAGAGGGAGAGGTGGGGAGGGGTTGGGAGAGGTGGGGAGAGGCGGGGAGAGGCGAGGAGGGTGTTGCGATGTGGCTATGCGGCGATACTATCAAGACGATTCAGGAGTCGTCGAGCATGAGCGAGAATCGCTGAAGGCCTTTGCGGCCCGCTGCCCCACTCAGCATGATCGCTGTGGAGAGGCAGAGGCGAGCAGAGGTGGGGAGCGGCGGGGAGCGGCGGGGAGGGGCGAGGAGGGCCTAGGAGAGGCGAAAAGACTCAGAAGTCGTCGAGCAGGAGGTGCGAGAAGCGCTGATGGCTCTAGCGACGCGCAGGAGACGACACAGGGGTCGGACTGGGAGCGCTACCACTGTGAACTTAGAGAGCTTACGAGTGCCGCGCACTTCGTCGCAAGCCTCGAGGCTTGGATAAGGAGGGAGGCCGGGCCACTGAATGCATCTGTAATCAAGGGGGTCGCCTCGATAACTCCTCACTCATCAATTTGGGCAAACATGCCATCTTCAATGGAAACAAATCGAGAAGTAGAACGTATTTTTCATAAGCTGAAATCTGGGTGTCGAAATTGGCTCGAACGTGTGCAGCGTTTTGGCGTAAGAGGTGTGGCTAGAAGAAATGTTGGCGACACTCTCGGCGAACCAAACAATAAAATCGAGATTCGATCGTCCGTAGTACGATTTGCAAACGCGCTGCTGGTGGTATGCGTAATCCAAATGGAGCTTTCGCTACGGTCTAGGTCCGCGGGGTCAGTCAGAGCACCTTTGTAGGATCATTCGGTAAGAGCCGCGTTATTAGTTATTTCAGCGCACCCTGTTTTATAGCCTATAACCGGTTGACACACTTACCTAGAAGAATTCTTTACATTCTGAAAACCAGCCTGATTGGCCAGGCCTCAAGCTACATGCTTTGAACTTTTGACACTCACTAAGCGGAAGCCGTAAACATGAATGCTAGAGAAAACTCCTAGTCAGCAGCCTTGATTGAATTCGCAGCATCCCCTTGCAACAACATATCACATTAGCAACTACAGCACCAGCTACACTACAGCCTCTACCTCTGTGCCCGCCTCAACAGCCCCTGCTGCATCCACCACAAGCTGCCCTCCACCAATCATCTCCATGCTCTCCTGCTCTGTTTCTACACCCTCCCCATCAGCACTCACCACCCCAGACCCTTCCTCCTATCCCTGTTCTTCTCCACATCTTGCCATTCCCTCCACTTCAATCCCTCCCTGCTCCTCCCAAACAGCCTGCTCCATCTCCTCCTTTGATCCCTGTTTGAAATACCCCCCCGCAATCTCTATAAGAATATTCAGCATTTCCAACCCTTGGTCCTCACGTGACTGTATCGAAGCCCTCAGCCCAGCACACTTCCTCAGCAGCTCTCGCAGCGCTGCTGCCGTCTCCGCTTCTATTGGCTCGTCCACCCCTGCCGCCCATGCCACCAGCCACATTCCCCGCCACGTGTCAACTGCTGATTGGCCGATGGCCCAGTCCACATGGGCGCGGAGGAGGGCGGCTCGGCCAACAGCATCGCAGTGTAGCACCGTGCCGAGCAACGGAGCGAGCTGATTGGCCCGGCCCGGGAGCACGCACTCCATGGCTGCCACGTCAGAATCTGACGGCCATGGCACTGGCATGGATGGTTGCTCAGTATAGTCTTCAGATGGATCAAGACCAGGGTTGCTGCTTTCGTCATTATCTGGCACCCAAAGAGGCAGGGGTCCCGAGTAGTTGATCATCTCGTCCAGTGCTGCTTCCACATCAGCGTCCACCTCAGCATCATCTTCCGTGTACGTGTCAGCATCGGCATCCAGATCAGCATCTACATCAGAACCGCCGTCAACCACACTAGTAACCTCAGCAGCTGTTGAATCGGCAGGTGTAGCATCAGCATCTGTAGCACCAGCATCTGTAGCAGCAGCAGCCATAGCAGCATCAGCAGCAGTATCACCAGGCTCCGTACTTTCCCTCAATCCACCACACCCCATGCCTGCATCACCCCTTCCCAACACATCTCCTCCCACATCATCCCCTGCCACATCATCCCCTGCCACATCATCCCCTGCCACATCATCCCCTGCCACATCATCCCCTGCCACATCATCCCCTGCCACATCACCCCCTGCCACATCATCCCCTGCCACATCATCCCCTGCCGTCACCCCTTGTGCAACCACCCTCTCATTCCCCCTGCAACTCCTTCAGGGTCCTTCACAGAAAGGCCCTTTATCGAAAGTCCCTCCGGCAGTTGCTCTGACAGCTTTTCAAGCAGCCCTTCTGTGAGTCCTCTTGAGATTCCGTCAGTGGGTGCCTTGCTGTGCGCTGTCGTGCACGGCAGCAGCAGCGCCAGGCCTCTGGGTGCCTCTCCTTCCCCTCGTCCCTCTTCTTGCTGCTGCTTTCCCTGTTCGCTCTCACTTGCACCCAATGCAATATCATGTACAGTGTCATCTGCAGTGTCATTTGCAGTGTCATGTAAAGTTTCATGTGCAGTGTCATGTGCAGTGTCATGTGCAGTGTCACATGCCGTGTCACGCACGCTGGCACTGGCATCCCCTTCCGCCTCCCCTCTCAAACTCCCGTCTTCCGTCGTCCCATCACCTCCTGATTCACACGCCTCCCCTCCCTCACCTCTCTCCTCTCCTCCATCTTTCTCCACACACTCGCTCTCCCTTTTCCCTCCATCCTCCATCCCTTCACGCTCTGCTTCCGAACCACAACAAACCTCACCCCCCTCCTTCGTCTTCCCCTCCCCACCATCCTCCACTTCTTCCTCTCCCTTTTCACCCTTTGCCTCCTTTTCTCCTCTTTCACCACCCACCTCTTCCTCCCTTGCTCCACCCCCAACCTCCTCCACTCCCTCATCCTTCTCTCGCTCCCCATCCACGTCCTCCTCCCACGCGCCCCCCTCCTCCTCGCCAATCAAATCCTTCTCCTCATCATCCCCATCCACTTCCCCTTCCCCCTCTCTGCTGCCCTCCTCCTCACTCCCTCCCCCCTCACTCTCTCCTCTCTCGCTTCCCTCCCCCAGGTCTACCTCACTGCAATCCTCTCCTTCTCCCATGCCAGCCACCTTCTTCCCTACTCTCCTCTTCGCCTTCCTTCTCGCCGCCACTTTTCCCCCTCCCCCGGTTCCCCCCTCTCCCGCCTCCCCCGTGTCACAAGGCAGAGAGCGGCCAAAGCAGTAGGAGTGCCACGCGTGCAGGTCGCGGTGCGATGGGATTGGCATGCCGTGACACGTGGCGACTCGTGATTCGTCGACGCCTTCAAGGCTCTGCAGGTGATGAGAAGACGTGACGGGGAAGGGGTGGAGTGGGGTAACAGAGAGTGTCGTGTGGGGGTACAGCGGGGTAGAGCGGGGTGAAGTGGGGTGGAGTGGGGCCGCAGAGAATGTAGCTGATGAAAATCATTGAACTCTCACCGCTCGCTCCTCTCACCTCTCTTGCGGGACACACTTGCCTGAATCTCTCACTGCAAACAAGTGCCGTCGCCTCGTCACCTCCTCACGAAGTGACTTTTGAGTCGACTCAAAAGAGGTGACTTTTGCGTCGACTCAAAAGTCACCTCTTGCGGGACACACTTGCCTGACTCTCTCACTGCAGGTGCCGTCGCCTCGTCACCTCCTCACAAAGCAGCTGTTTTTACTCCCAAAGAAAGCAAGCACAGCACTGCACCCCCACCTGGCGCAGGTAACTGCACCAGTGCCTTTGATACCTGCCAGGCACCCATTGCTAAAAAAGGCCCTTCTGGTGCAAGCAAGCAGCTTACGGCAATGACATGAAATGGAATCATGTGCTTCACAGCACAGACTTTTGAGGCGCCTCAAAACTGATCTGGTGCAAGCAAGCGGCTTACGGCAATGACATGAAATGGAATCATGTGCTTCACAGCACAGCAGCACCCACCTGGCGCGGCCACTTGTGGGAAGGCAGCAGCAGGGCAGGGCAGGAGGCACATGCAGCACGGGGCACGGCGCCACGCAGCACGGCACAGCACGGCACGGCACGGCACAGCACAGCACGGCACGGCACAGCACAGCACGGCACGGCACAGCACGCCACGGCACGGCACGGCACGGCACAGCACTGCACGGCACAGCACGGCAGCACCCACCTGGCGCAGGCACCCGAACGCAGCCTGGAGGTACTGCCGCCACTCGTGGGAGGGCAGCAGCAGGGCGGGGCAGGCCGGCACAGCAGCCACTCGCGGCAGGTAGTGCGGGGAAAACACCTACCCAGCACAGCACAGCAAGACCCACCTGGCGCAGGTAACCAAAGGCGGCTTGCACGTACTGCCGCCACTCGTGGGAGGGCAGCAGCAGGGCGGAGCAGGCCGGCACAGCAGCCACTCGCGGCAGGTAGTGCGGGGAAAACACCTACCCAGCACAGCACAGCAAGACCCACCTGGCGCAGGTAACCAAAGGCGGCTTGCACGTACTGCCGCCACTCGTGGGAGGGCAGCAGCAGGGCGGGGCTGGCCGGCACAGCAGCCACTCGCGGCAGGTGACGCGGACCCAGGGCCACAGGGGCACCGCCGCTGGTAGGATTGCCGCCAGGTGGCGGCTTCTCATTGGGTGCTGCAACAACCACCTTGGGCACGCGCTCCCTCTCCCACCTGCTCAGGGCGGAGGCGAGAGGAGGGGAGGAGGCGGGAGGAGGGGAGGAGGCGGGAGGAGGGGAGGGGGCGGGAGGGGAGGCGAGGGACGTACGGGGAGGAAACGAGTGAAGCTTGTCAGTGGGTGCTGCAACAACCACCTTGGGCACACACTCCCTCTCCCACCTGCTCAGGGCGGACCAGAGAGGAGATGAGGCGAGACGAAAGGAAACACGTGAAGTTACCGGAGCTGAGGGGAGCTGGTGTGCAGAAACATATGGGGGAAAGAGGGAAATTGAGTAAAATTGCCTGTTCTGAGTGATGGCACAAGTTGACTCATCATACCCTAGACTTGGAAGCAGGGAATGTTGAAAACACCCACCTTTGACGGGCCCCTCACCACCCCATCTTCCAGTGAAAATGCATCCCCCATTTCCATATTACCAACCACATTCCCATTTCCCCTCCTCCCCCAACCACATCCCACCTCCCACAACCTCTTACCCTCATCTCCCTTCCCCTACCCCCTGCCCTGCCCATCATCTCAAGCAAGCGACCACGTCAACGGGCCGTGCCTGAGAGAAGCCCAACGCATACCCCACCAACCCCACGTGAGAAACCCTGAACCCTGGCAGCACCTAATTTTTAACCCTGAACCCTGGCAGCGGATGAGGAAGGGAGAAGTCCGGCTCGCCATACACTGGCAGAGCCCTCGCCTGCAGCACCTCCTCTGTCCACTCTACTCACTCTTCATACCTCTCCGTCAGTACATCCCCCCCTCCTCACCTCACACGCCGCAGGTACTCAAGCCCATCCAGGGGGTGAGGAATGGTGGGAAATCTGTATTGAGACGCAACCACTAACAGGTGACACAACACCAAAGTGATCCTCTCCCTCCTGCCAACCTGCCAGCACTACCAGCCTCACCTGACGCGGCGCAGGTACTCAAGCCAATCCAGCACTGCAGCACTCCCTGTAGAAATCGCCACAGGAGTAGAAGCTGCAGCAGGAGGTGGAGCGGAATGTGCGGCAGTGTCTGGGAGAGAGGGAGCAGAGAGAGAGCAAGAGGCAGCTCCTGCAGATTGACCCGTTTCAACTGGTGGTTCTCCTGACCCGCTCACATCCTGCCTATCATCCTCCGCGCTCTCCTGCTCCTTTCCATGGCCCCCTTCCTGAACCTGTTCCTGCTCCCCTTGCTGCTCCTTTTCCGGCACTCTTTCCTGCTCCCTTTCTCCTCGCCCCTCCCTCTCCCTTTCATCGTTCCTTTCCCATCCCTCACTCACTTCTCTTCCCAGCTCCCCTCCTCCTCTCTCCTTCGCGTCTTCCCTCTCCTTCTCCCCGCTCTCTACCTCTTCCGTCCTCTCCTCCCCACCGCCCCCCCCCTTCCCCTCGTCATGCACCTCCCGCTCGCCCCTCTCCTTCTTCGCCCCACACCCCCCATCCATACACGCAACACCACGCGACTCTTGAGTCGGCCCAGAAGTCTCCTCCTTTGCGCCACACTCCCCATCCGCCAACGCCACACCTGCCACACACTCTCTTGCTTCACCTGCCACACAGGCTCTCACTTCACCTCCGCCTGGACCTCCCTCTCCCGCCCTCTCCCTCCCTTCCAATGCTCCGTCTGCCATCCCCCCATCTCCTCGCCTCTCCCCCTCCTCTCCCCTCCTCCATCACCAGCCCTTGCTCCGCCGCCTCCTCCCTCTCTGCTTCCCCCTCTCGCACCTCTCCCTCCTCTTCCCCCTCTTCCCCTTCTGACCCCCCTCTCCCGCCTCCTACTTCGTTTCCCAGAGAGCATCTCTGCCGCTGCCCATGCCCCCTCTCCGCTCTCCCCCTCTCCGCTCTCCCCCTCTCCGCTCTCCCCCTCTCCGCTCTCCCCCTCTCCGCTCTCCCCCTCTCCGCTCGCCCCCTCTCCGCTCTCCCCCTCTCCGCTCTCCCCCTCTCCGCTCTCCCCCTCTCCGCTCTCCCCCTCTCCGCTCTCCCCCTCTCCGCTCTCCCCCTCTCCGCTCTCCCCCTCTCCGCTCTCCCCCTCTCCGCTCTCCCCCTCTCCGCTCTCCCCCTCTCCGCTCTCCCCCTCTCCGCTCTCCCCCTCTCCGCTCTCCCCTCTCCGCTCTCCCCCTCTCCGCTCTCCCCCTCTCCGCTCTCCCCCTCTCCGCTCTCCCCCTCTCCGCTCTCCCCCTCTCCGCTCGCCCCTCTCCGCTCGCCCCCTCTCCGCTCGCCCCCTCTCCGCTCGCCCCCTCTCCGCTCGCCCCCTCTCCGCTCGCCCCCTCTCCGCTCGCCCCCTCTCCGCTCGCCCCCTCTCCGCTCGCCCCCTCTCCGCTCGCCCCCTCTCCGCTCGCCCCCTCTCCGCTCGCCCCCTCTCCGCTCGCCCCCTCTCCGCTCTCCCCCTCTCCGCTCGCCCCCTCTCCGCTCGCCCCCTCTCCGCTCGCCCCCTCTCCGCTCGCCCCCTCTCCGCTCGCCCCCTCTCCGCTCGCCCCCTCTCCGCTCGCCCCCTCTCCGCTCGCCCCCTCTCCGCTCGCCCCCTCTCCGCTCTCCCCCTCTCCGCTCGCCCCCTCTCCGCTCTCCCCCTCTCCGCTCGCCCCCTCTCCGCTCGCCCCCTCTCCGCTCTCCCCCTCTCCGCTCGCCCCCTCTCCGCTCGCCCCCTCTCCGCTCGCCCCCTCTCCGCTCGCCCCCTCTCCGCTCGCCCCCTCTCCGCTCGCCCCCTCTCCGCTCTCCCCCTCTCCGCTCTCCCCCTCTCCGCTCTCCCCCTCTCCGCTCTCCCCCTCTCCGCTCTCCCCCTCTTCTCTTCCTCCCTCTCCGCTCTCCCCCTCTCCGCTCTCCCCCTCTCCGCTCTCCCCCTCTCCGCTCGCCCCCTCTCCGCTCGCCCCCTCTCCGCTCGCCCCCTCTCCGCTCGCCCCCTCTCCGCTCGCCCCCTCTCCGCTCGCCCCTCTCCGCTCGCCCCCTCTCCGCTCGCCCCCTCTCCGCTCGCCCCCTCTCCGCTCGCCCCCTCTCCGCTCGCCCCCTCTCCGCTCGCCCCCTCTCCGCTCGCCCCCTCTCCGCTCGCCCCCTCTCCGCTCGCCCCCTCTCCGCTCGCCCCCTCTCCGCTCGCCCCCTCTCCGCTCGCCCCCTCTCCGCTCGCCCCCTCTCCGCTCGCCCCCTCTCCGCTCTCCCCCTCTCCGCTCGCCCCCTCTCCGCTCGCCCCCCTCTCCGCTCGCCCCCTCTCCGCTCGCCCCCTCTCCGCTCGCCCCCTCTCCGCTCTCCCCCTCTCCGCTCGCCCCCTCTCCGCTCTCCCCCCTCTCCGCTCGCCCCCTCTCCGCTCGCCCCCTCTCCGCTCTCCCCCTCTCCGCTCGCCCCTCTCCTCCGCTCGCCCCCTCTCCGCTCGCCCCCTCTCCGCTCGCCCCCTCTCCGCTCGCCCCTCTCCGCTCGCCCCCTCTCCGCTCTCCCCCTCTCCGCTCTCCCCCTCTCCGCTCTCCCCCTCTCCGCTCTCCCCCCTCTCCGCTCTCCCCCTCTTCTCTTCCTCCCTCTCCGCTCTCCCCCTCTCCGCTCTCCCCCTCTCCGCTCGCCCCCTCTCCGCTCGCCCCCTCTCCGCTCGCCCCCTCTCCGCTCGCCCCCTCTCCGCTCTCCCCCTCTCCGCTCGCCCCCTCTCCGCTCGCCCCCTCTCCGCTCGCCCCCTCTCCGCTCGCCCCCTCTCCGCTCGCCCCTCTCCGCTCTCCCCCTCTCCGCTCGCCCCCTCTCCGCTCTCCCCCTCTCCGCTCGCCCCCTCTCCGCTCGCCCCCTCTCCGCTCTCCCCCTCTCCGCTCGCCCCCTCTCCGCTCGCCCCCTCTCCGCTCGCCCCCTCTCCGCTCGCCCCCTCTCCGCTCGCCCCCTCTCCGCTCGCCCCCTCTCCGCTCTCCCCCTCTCCGCTCTCCCCCTCTCCGCTCTCCCCCTCTCCGCTCTCCCCCTCTCCGCTCTCCCCTCTCGCTCTCCTCCCTCTCCGCTCTCCCCCTCTCCGCTCTCCCCCTCTCCGCTCGCCCCCTCTCCGCTCGCCCCCTCTCCGCTCGCCCCCTCTCCGCTCGCCCCCTCTCCGCTCGCCCCCTCTCCGCTCGCCCCCTCCTCCGCTCGCCCCCTCTCCGCTCGCCCCCTCTCCGCTCGCCCCCTCTCCGCTCGCCCCTCTCCGCTCGCCCCCTCTCCGCTCGCCCCCTCTCCGCTCGCCCCCTCTCCGCTCGCCCCCTCTCCGCTCGCCCCCTCTCCGCTCGCCCCCTCTCCGCTCTCCCCCTCTCCGCTCGCCCCCTCTCCGCTCGCCCCCTCTCCGCTCGCCCCTCTCCGCTCGCCCCTCTCCGCTCTCCCCCTCTCCGCTCGCCCCTCTCCGCTCGCCCCCTCTCCGCTCGCCCCCTCTCCGCTCGCCCCCTCTCCGCTCGCCCCCTCTCCGCTCGCCCCCTCTCCGCTCTCCCCCTCTCCGCTCTCCCCCTCTCCGCTCTCCCCTCTCCGCTCTCCCCTCTTCGCTCTCCCCCTCTCCGCTCTCCCCCTCTCCGCTCTCCCCTCTTCCTCTCTCCCCTCTCCGCTCGCCCCCTCTCCGCTCTCCCCCTCTCCGCTCTCCCCCTCTCCGCTCGCCCCCTCTCCGCTCGCCCCCTCTCCGCTCGCCCCCTCTCCGCTCTCCCCCTCTCCGCTCGCCCCCTCTCCGCTCGCCCCCTCTCCGCTCGCCCCCTCTCCGCTCGCCCCCTCTCCGCTCGCCCCCTCTCCGCTCTCCCCCCTCTCCGCTCGCCCCCTCTCCGCTCTCCCCCTCTCCGCGCGCCCCCTCTCCGGCTCGCCCCCTCTCCGCTCTCCCCTCTCCGCTCGCCCCCTCTCCGCTCGCCCCCTCTCCGCTCGCCCCCTCTCCGCTCGCCCCCTCTCCGCTCGCCCCCACTCTCCGCTCGCACCCCCTCTCCGCTCGCCCCCTCTCCGCTCGCCCCCTCTCCGCTCTCCCCCTCTCCGCTCGCCCCCTCTCCGCTCGCCCCCTCTCCGCTCGCCCCCTCTCCGCTCTCCCCCTCTCCGCTCAGCCCCTCTCCGCTCGCCCCCTCTCCGCTCGCCCCCCTCTCCGCTCTCCCCCTCTCCGCTCGCCCCCTCTCCGCTCTCCCCCTCGTCCGCTCTCCCCCTCTCCGCTCTCCCCCTCTCCGCTCCTCCCCCTCTCCGCTCGCCCCCTCTCCGCTCTCCCCCTCATCCCGCTCTCCCCCTCTTCCGCTCGCCCCTCTCCGCTCGCCCCCTCTCCGCTCCTCTCCGCTCTCCCCCTCTCCGCTCTCCCCCTCTCCGCTCTCCCCCTCTCCGCTCTCCCCTCTCCGCTCTCCCCCTCTCCGCTCTCCCCCTCTCCGCTCTCCCCCTCTCCGCTCTCCCCCTCTCCGCTCTCCCCCTCTCCGCTCTCCCCCTCTCCGCTCTCCCCCTCTCCGCTCTCCCCCTCTCCGCTCTCCCCCTCTCCGCTCTCCCCCTCTCCGCTCTCCCCCTCTCCGCTCTCCCCCTCTCCGCTCTCCCCCTCTCCGCTCTCCCCCTCTCCGCTCTCCCCTCTCCGCTCTCCCCCTCTCCGCTCTCCCCCTCTCCGCTCTCCCCCTCTCCGCTCTCCCCCTCTCCGCTCTCCCCCTCTCCGCTCTCCCCCTCTCCGCTCTCCCCCCTCTCCGCTCTCCCCTCTCCGCTCTCCCCCTCTCCGCTCTCCCCCTCTCCGCTCTCCCCCTCTCCGCTCGCCCCCCCTCTCCGCTCGCCCCCTCTCCGCTCGCCCCCTCTCCGCTCGCCCCCTCTCCGCTCGCCCCCTCTCCGCTCGCCCCCTCTCCGCTCGCCCCCTCTCCGCTCGCCCCCTCTCCGCTCGCCCCCTCTCCGCTCGCCCCTCTCCGCTCGCCCCCTCTCCGCTCGCCCCCTCTCCGCTCTCCCCTCTCCGCTCGCCCCCTCTCCGCTCGCCCCCCTCTCCGCTCTCCCCCTCTCCGCTCGCCCCCTCTCCGCTCGCCCCCTCTCCGCTCTCCCCCTCTCCGCTCGCCCCCTCTCCGCTCTCCCCCTCTCCGCTCGCCCCCTCTCCGCTCGCCCCCTCTCCGCTCTCCCCCTCTCCGCTCTCCCCCTCTCCGCTCGCCCCCTCTCCGCTCTCCCCCTCTCCGCTCTCCCCCTCTCCGCTCTCCCCCTCTCCGCTCTCCCCCTCTCCGCTCTCCCCCTCTCCGCTCTCCCCCTCTCCGCTCTCCCCTCTCCGCTCTCCCCTCTCCGCTCGCCCCCTCTCCGCTCTCCCCCTCTCCGCTCTCCCCCTCTCCGCTCGCCCCCTCTCCGCTCTCCCCCTCTCCGCTCTCCCCCTCTCCGCTCTCCCCCTCTCCGCTCTCCCCCCTCTCCGCTCTCCCCCTCTCTCCGCTCTCCCCCTCTCCGCTCTCCCCTCTCTCCGCTCTCCCCTCTCCGCTCTCCCCCTCTCCGCTCTCCCCCTCTCCGCTCTCCCCCTCTCCGCTCTCCCCCTCTCCGCTCTCCCCCTCTCCGCTCTCCCCTCTCCGCTCTCCCCCTCTCCGCTCTCCCCCTCTCCGCTCTCCCCCTCTCCGCTCTCCCCCTCTCCGCTCTCCCCCTCTCCGCTCTCCCCCTCTCCGCTCTCCCCCTCTCCGCTCTCCCCCTCTCCGCTCTCCCCCTCTCCGCTCTCCCCTCTCCGCTCTCCCCCTCTCCGCTCTCTCCCCCCTCTCCGCCTCCCTCCGCTCTCCCCTCTCCGCTCTCCCCTCTCCGCTCTCCCCCTCTCCGCTCTCCCCCTCTCCGCTCTCCCCCTCTCCGCTCTCCCCTCTCCGCTCTCCCCCTCTCCGCTCTCCCCCTCCTCCGCTCTCCCCCTCTCCGCTCTCCCCCTCTCCGCTCTCCCCCTCTCCGCTCTCCCCCTCTCCGCTCTCCCCCTCTCCGCTCTCCCCCTCTCCGCTCTCCCCCTCTCCGCTCTCCCCCTCTCGCTCGCCCCTCTCCGCTCTCCCCCTCTCCGCTCGCACCCTCTCCGCTCTACCCCCCGTCTCCCGCTCGTCCCCCCTCTCCGCTCTCCCCCTCCTCCGCTCTCCCCCTCTCCAGCTCTCCCCCTCTCCGCTCTCCCCCTCTCACGCTCTCCCCCTCTCCGCTCTCCCCCTCTCCGCTCTCCCCCTCTCCGCTCTCCCCCCTCTCCGCTCTCCCCTCTCCGCTCTCCCCCTCTCCGCTCTCCCCTCTCCGCTCGCCCCTCTCCGCTCTCCCCCTCTCCGCTCCCCCTCTCCGCTCTCCCCTCTCCGCTCTCCCCTCTCCGCTCTCCCCCTCTCCGCTCTCCCCCTCTCCGTCCCCTCTCCGCTCTCCCCCTCTCCCGCTCTCCCCCTCTCCGCTCTCCCCCTCTCCGCTCGCCCCCTCTCCGCTCTCCCCCTCTCCGCTCTCCCCCTCTCCGCTCGCCCCCTCGTCCGCTCTCCCCCTCTCCGCTCGCCCCCTCTCCGCTCTCCCCCTCTCCGCTCGCCCCTCTCCGCTCTCCCCCTCTCCGCTCGCCCCCTCTCCGCTCTCCCTCTCCGCTCTCCCCTCTCCGCTCGCCCCCTCTCCGCTCGCCCCCTCTCCGCTCTCCCCTCTCCGCTCTCCCCCTCTCCGCTCTCCCCCTCTCCGCTCTCCCCCTCTCCGCTCTCCCCCTCTCCGCTCGCCCCCTCTCCGCTCTCCCCCTCTCCGCTCTCCCCCTCTCCGCTCGCCCCCTCTCCGCTCTCCCCCTCTCCGCTCTCCCCCTCTCCGCTCTCCCCCTCTCCGCTCTCCCCCTCTCCGCTCTCCCCCTCTCCGCTCTCCCCTCTCCGCTCTCCCCCTCTCCGCTCTCCCCCTCTCCGCTCTCCCCTCTCTCCTCTCCCCTCTCCGCTCTCCCCCTCTCCGCTCTCCCCCTCTCCGCTCTCCCCCTCTCCGCTCTCCCCCTCTCCGCTCTCCCCCTCTCCGCTCTCCCCCTCTCCGCTCTCCCCCTCTCCGCTCTCCCCCTCTCCGCTCTCGCCCCCTCTCCGCTCTCCCCCTCTCCGCTCTCCCCCTCTCCGCTCTCCCCCTCTCCGCTCTCCCCCTCTCCGCTCTCCCCCTCTCCGCTCTCCCCCTCTCCGCTCTCCCCCTCTCCGCTCTCCCCCTCTCCGCTCTCCCCCTCTCCGCTCTCCCCCTCTCCGCTCTCCCCCTCTCCGCTCTCCCCCCTCTCCGCTCTCCCCCTCTCCGCTCTCCCCCCTCTCCGCTCTCCCCCTCTCCGCTCTCCCCCTCTCCGCTCTCCCCCTCTCCGCTCTCCCCCTCTCCGCTCTCCCCCCTCTCCGCTCTCCCCCCTCTCCGCTCTCCCCCTCTCCGCTCTCCCCCTCTCCGCTCTCCCCCTCTCCGCTCTCCCCCTCTCCGCTCTCCCCCTCTCCGCTCTCCCCCTCTCCGCTCTCCCCCTCTCCGCTCTCCCCCTCTCCGCTCTCTCCCCTCTCCGCTCTCGCCTCTCCCCTCTCCGCTCTCCCCTCTCCGCTCTCCCCCTCTCCGCTCTCCCCTCTCCCGCTCTCCCCCTCTCCGCTTCTCCCCCTCGCTCCCGCTCTCCCCTCTCCGCTCTCCCCCTCTCCGCTCTCACCCTCTCATCCGCTCTCCCCCTCTCCGCTCTCCCCCTAATCCGCTCTCCCCCTCTCCGGCTCTCCCCCTCTCCGCTCTCCCCCTCTCCGCTCATCCCCCTCTCCGCTCTCCCCCTCTCCGCTCTCCCCCTCTGTCACCGCTCGCCCCCTCTCCGCTCTCCCCTCCCCGCTCTCCCCCTCTCCGCTCTCCCCCTCTCCGCTCTCCCCCTCTCCGCGCTCCCCTCTCCGCTCTCACCCCCTCTCCGCTCTCCCCCTCTCCGCTCTCCCCCCTTGCCTCAGCTCTCCCCCCTCTCCGCTCTCCCCCTCTCCGCTCTCCCCCTCTCCGCCTCTCCCCCTCTCCGCTCTCCTCTCCGCTCCTCTCCGCTCCTCCCCTCTCCCCCCTCTCCGCTCTCCCCCTCTCCGCTCTCCCCCCTCTCTCCGCTCTCCCCCTCTCCGCTCTCCCCCTCTCCGCTCTCCCCTCTCCGCTCTCCCCCTCTCCGCTCTCCCCCTCTCCGCTCTCCCCCTCTCCGCTCTCCCCCTCTCCGCTCTCCCCCTCTCCGCTCTCCCCCTCTCCGCTCTCCCCCTCTCCGCTCTCCCCCTCTCCGCTCTCCCCCTCTCCGCTCTCCCCCTCTCCGCTCTCCCCCCTCTCCGCTCTCCCCCCTCTCCGCTCTCCCCCTCTCCGCTCTCCCCCTCTCCGCTCTCCCCCTCTCCGCTCTCCCCCTCTCCGCTCTCCCCCTCTCCGCTCTCCCCCTCTCCGCTCTCCCCCTCTCCGCTCTCCCCCCTCTCCGCTCTCCCCCTCTCCGCTCTCCCCCTCTCCGCTCTCCCCCTCTCCGCTCTCCCCCTCTCCGCTCTCCCCCTCTTCTCTTCCTCCCTCCCCTCCTCCTCCCTCTGCTCCCCACTCTCTTCCCTCCCACCTTCCCCCACTTCCTCTCGACCACGTTTGTCCCCATCCCCCTTCTCCTCCCTCTCCCCCCCACCCGCCGACACACCATCTGCCCCACCCTCGTTCCGCTCAATAATGCCCCCATCCCCCTGCTCGCCCTCCCCATCCTCCCCCTCCGCTTCTCCCTCCCCCTCGCCCTCCCCCTCCCCTTCCCCCTCCCCCACAACCTCCTCCCCAGCCATCCACTCCTCTCCTTCCTCCTCCCCCTCTCCCCCATACTCTTCCCACCCCTCCGCCTCTTCCCCCGACGCCCCAGGGGCCGTTCCCCCATCCGCCGACCTGCTCCTTCCCCCCCTTCTCCCCCCTCCCCCCTTCCATCCGCCTCCCCTTCCGCCACCACCACCCCCTCCCCCCCCGTCCCCCGTACCCCCTGCTTCCCCCTCCCAGCCCTCCCCCAGACGAAGAGCCCCCCGCCCCTCCCCCTCCCCTCCTGTTACCTCCGCCCCCTCTTCCTCCCCCGCTCCCTCCCCCGCCCCTCCGCCTGCCCCCGCCATCCCCATCACCACTCCCCTCGTCCTCCTCCCCCTCTCCCCCCTCACCTCCCCCTTTAGAAACACTCCCGTTAGAAGCATCCGCCTTTCTATCGCCCTGCGCGCTCCCCTGCCTGCGCGCGCCAGCGTCCCCCTCCGCCTGTCGCCCCCGCGGCTGCTGCAGCAGTGCGCCAGCCACCGCTGCGCCAGCAGGCGCGGGTTGCCCCGCCTCAGGACTCGCTGTGGCGAGCGCAACAGCACGCCAGGCGCAACAGCAGCGCCAGGCGCAGCAGCAACGCCGGCAGTAGCAGGCAGGGACGGTGCAGGGACACGGACGGCGGTAGCAGCAGCATAGAGCTCGGGAGCCGAAGAGGGTTCCGTGACAACAGACGATGCCGCAGCTGCGTCCGCGCTGGCAGCAGGGACAGCTGTCACGACGGGAGCAGTCGTTGCTGACGTGGAAGCGGAGTGAGCACTCACGGCGGGATGGGTCGGAGGCGGTGCACTGAGAAATGGCGGAGTGGCAGCAGCAGCGATGACGGGGTGAAAGGCAATGCTCGATGTAACAGCAGCGGCAGCCGCAGCCGCTGCTTCAGCACGAGCAGCAGGAACATCAGCTAGAGGGGCTGTATTTGTGGGTACTGCAGCAGTCATCACTGAAGGGGCTGTAGCTGCGGGCACTTCAACAGCAGCGAGGCTCGTCCCGCCGTTGGCCCTCATGTTGCCACCTTCTAGCCCATCCGCCGGCGCACCGTTGATCGCCGGCCTCGTTGAAGATCCAACGGCGGACAAGGCGCCATCAGCGGCGGCATTCCCGAAGCCGTCTGCGTGGGGGGCGGGCTGAGCGACTCGCGGAGCAGATGAATCGCTGGCGGCTAAACCGGCGGGGATTGGCGGTTGACTAAGGGGTTGGTGGGGTGGCGGCGGAGTCGGGGTCTGGGGATGGCGCGGCGGAAAGACCTGCGCGGCGGAGACGGGCGCGATGCTGGCGGGGCCGACCAACGCACTGTGAGGGGATACTATTTGCGGTTGGTGAGGAATTTTGGGCGGTTGAATAGGGGTTTGGTGCGGTTCGATAGGGGGGTGGCGCGGCGGAGCGACCTGCACGGCGGAGACGGGCGCGATGTTCTCGGGGCCCAGCAGGTCGAGCCGCCGCTGGCGAATAAAAGCATTCACCTTAAGGATGTAATCGGGGTCCACCGCGAGCTCCGCTGGCCCCGACGGAGGTATCTGATGGTTCATGGCGTCGCGGAAGGTTCTCGACGGGATTCTACGAAACTTCCTGCTACAAAACGGCGTTCAACTCAATGCGGTCAGTCGGTTTCTACCGCGAGCTCCGCTAGGCCCGAGGGGTTGGGAATCTGATGGTTCATGGCGTCGCGGAAGGTTCTTGAGACGTCTCAAACACCACCTGCTACAAAACGTCGTTTACCTTAGTTAGGTAGTCGGGGTCCACCGCGAAATCCGCTAGGACCGATGGAATGATCAGTCATGGCGTCGCGTGATGATGCCAAACAAGATTCGACGTTAAAGCCCGCGGCCCAAATTGCAAGCCGCGCGCGTCAAGTTTTTAAAACTTGACGCCCTGACTTTCGGGTTACCAAGCACCTGGGAGACAGTAGGCCGCGCGACACAACAGAGGTTGTGAACCAATGAGAACACACCACCCTGAAATTGTGAACCAATGAAATTGAACACAAATGTGTTCCGTCGCATACCAGGGTTCGGAAGAACTTGTCTTGCCAACACTCACCCAAAAACTTGAAAACGACGTGCGCAATTTGGGACTTTTGCACACAAACAAGCACCAGCTGCACTAAGTCGTTCAATAGGCCCACACACAACTCGCACACACCAGGAACGGCCATGGCACGCCTCAGCGCACAATTTCTCGACATTTCGATGGAAAATGGCGCGGAACCAGCGGAAACTAGGGTTATTGACATGGTTACAGCGCAGTTCGCAACTCTGACGGCATTGGTGGCGATGGTCGCGTTCGCCGTGTCAGTCGTCATAGCCATAGTAATCACAGCCATGGAGTCACGCCGTCGACTTGCCATGCCGCCGAAGCTGCTCACCGCTTCGGACGTCGCGATGCGTTCCGTCGCGTTGCAGCCCGTCGCGCTGCGTTCCCTCGCGCTGCGTTTTATGGAGCGTACAGAGGTCGAGAGGGGTTTCGTCGCGCAAAAGCCTTGCGAAATCTCTCTCCATCCCTCGGAGGGTAAAAAGCCGTATCGTGACCCGATTCGCGTGAGAGAACCCGTGGTAATGCGCGCATCGCTTACAAACACGCGCCCTGGTTTGAGATGATCGGATCATCTCAAACCTGTAATTGCGACTCTGGCTCGTTGCCGTCAGGGCCACCATCGCGTTCCTAATACCATTAGCCGCGAGTTCCTGCCGCACCCCCTCATATCCTCCCATCCCCCCCCTCCCCCCCGAATCCGTCCCCACTTTCCCCATGCCCGTGCCCCGCCCTCTCCCAGCCGTCTGTCTGTGGGCAGCAATGTGGCATCGCTGGATTCGGAAAGCTGGACCCCGGCCGTCTGGCTCGTTCGCCTTCCGCTCCTCACCCTTGTTGGAAAGCGTCCCTTTTGCGCCATCTCTGTCCGTCCCTTTTCCTCCCCTCGCCCCTCCCCTCTCCTCACCTCAATTCCCTCCTCTCCCCTTCTCTCTTCGTTCCGCCGCAACCTCTCATAGCCTCCATCCACTATGTCCCGTATACTCTGCCCTCTTCTCTCCTTTCCTCGCATCCCGCCCCTCCCCCTCTCCATCATTCACTGCTGTCGTTCTCATGCCGCGGTCCTCGTCGTCCTGGTCGCCCGGCCCGGCCCTGCAGATGAGGGTATATCACCATTTCCGTCTTTCATTCCCCCCTTTCCCTCTTCCTCCCCCCACTCTACCCCTCTCGCCTCTCCTCCCCACCTAGGCGAGTGGCGATCCGGCGGCACATGCACATGTGGGTCGCTCGTGTGGCGATGAGTGGGCGCTCTCAGGCCACAGCAGCATGGTGCTCTCCCCTCACTGCAGCCCTGATGGCGCGGCCATCGCAACATGGGCGTGTGATCCACGTGCTCCGGCGGGTGTGGTTGGTTGGTCTTTGACCACAGCGCGCGGTCTCATTAGCAGCAGCGCCGCTCGGAAGCCAGCATGACGCACACATAAGGTCTGTTGCGCCCACGCTGAATACACAAACAACAACCAACAAACAACAGTAAGCCATCACGAAAACAAACGCCAAACCTCACGTCCGCCCTCCTCACTTCCCCACTACGCCTTCCCTCTCTCCCACTCACCTCCTCACCTCCTCTCCCCCTCCTTTCCCCCTCCCGTCCCCCTCTCACCCCTCCCCCCTCCCCAGCAGCAGGGTGGGTGAGCAGGTGGCGGGATGAGTGAGCGGCAGGTGGGCGCAAGGATGGCGGGCGCACACCGAGCAGCAGGTATGCTCAACACTGAAAAATTGCGTCCCACCACAGGCAAAACGAATGGAGCGCAAATACCCACCGAGCGACAATAAGAATCCTCACACAGTATCTCTGCCCCCCACACGCCTCATCTCTCCACCCACTCTCTGCGCCCGCTAAACACACAAAATCAAGTAAGCATCGGGCCCTTCCCTTCCCCTAGTACCTCCCTTCCCACCACCATCCGCTGCTCGATTTCCTCCTCGCCTCTCTTGCCTCTCACACTCATGGCTCTCTCCCTGCCTCACCACCAGAATATCTTGCATTGTCACTGCAGTCAGTGCTGTACCCATTCATGCTCACTTCACCCCACTCAGCCCATCTCAAAGGCTTCCAGTCATATGCGAGTTCGCTGATTCCCCACTCTTCCTAATTCCCCCACTCTGTCCCTACCGCTGCACCCTCCCACTGTTCTCTGCCACATCTGACCGCCACGGCATTTATGTGCGCCCACCACACAACTCTACCGCCTGACCTGGTGGCCAACATGGAGGCCAGGTGGCTCACTTCTCCACTCAGCCTGCTGTCACACTCTTCAAGGCCCTCCCGCTGTAATGCAGGCGACCTCCCAACCTCCCTTCCCCCTGCAGCTATGCTCCTGCTCTGCTGCCACCCTTTCCTCTAGTAGTATCATTGTCCCTCACCCCACCTCACACCCCGCATGACACGTCTCGTCACACGGTCTCACTAACAGCCCCACCACTACTATCTTCCCATTGCTCCCGAGATTTTCTCACTATACTGTCCTTCTCCTCTCCCTCCCCCACTCATCCACCCTTACTCACACATGCAGGTGAATGGCACGATGCACCTCTACAGCGGCCGATTATCACGGTCGACTTCAAAGTGCTGCTACCTCATTAATCATTTTGTCCCCCAAACCACTCCCGTCCCAACCGCCACCTCTCCCGCCCACCAGGTGGATGGCACCAAGGCAGCTCCCAGACAAGCGCTGCCTTACAAGAGCAGTTCACCGCCCCGGCCGAGCCCGCCGCTGACTCATGGTCAGCTGGCGGGGCGGATGCGGGCGGGGCGGTGGCCGCGGGGGAGGAGAGGCAATTGCGGTGGGTGCGGCTGAAATGGGCTGGGAATGCGAGCAGCCAGGTGCTGCAGTATGAGGAGAACTGAGCCATAAGCTACTCTACCCTCCCTCACCCCGTGCCACCTGTGCCATCTCTCCTGTTCTCATGCTCCCGCCGACTTGGCCCTCTCATCCTGTCCGTCGTGGAGGTAAGCAGTGCTGAGCGACATGGGGATGGTGCAGGGTGGGAGGGTGCAGAGGGGGAGGGTGCAGTGTGTGAGGGTGCAGTGTGGGAGGGTGCAGTGTGGGAGGGTGCAGTGTGGGAGGGTGCAGTGTGGGAGGGTGCAGTGTGGGAGGGTGCAGTGTGGGAGGGTGCAGTGTGGGAGGGTGCAGTGTGGGAGGGTGCAGTGTGGGAGGGTGCAGTGTGGGAGGGTGCAGTGTGGGAGGGTGCAGTGTGGGAGGGTGCAGTGTGGGAGGGTGCAGTGTGGGAGGGTGCAGTGTGGGAGGGTGCAGTGTGGGAGGGTGCAGTGTGGGAGGGTGCAGTGTGGGAGGGTGCAGTGTGGGAGGGTGCAGTGTGGGAGGGTGCAGTGTGGGAGGGTGCAGTGTGGGAGGGTGCAGTGTGGGAGCAGTGTGGGAGGGTGCAGTGTGGGAGGGTGCAGTGTGGGAGGGTGCAGTGTGGGAGGGTGCAGTGTGGGAGTGGGAGGGTGCAGTGTGGGAGGGTGCAGTGTGGGAGGGTGCAGTGTGGGAGGGTGCAGTGTGGGAGGGTGCAGTGTGGGAGGGTGCAGTGTGGGAGGGTGCAGTGTGGGAGGGTGCAGTGTGGGAGGGTGCAGTGTGGGAGGGTGCAACATTAACACAGCAGCTGTAATCCAGTTTTTGCTCGTGATCCACACTTGTCTACGTCAGTGTGGAATTGATGCATGCTCGGCAGCCTGCCATCGAACCATAGTGCTGCAAAATTGCACCCTACCCCATGGCACCCCACCGCATGCCACTCATGTGCATGCACTCCAAAACCTCCCTCCCTCCCTCCCTCCCTCCATTCATCCGTACGTCCCTCCCTCCATCTCTCCCACCCTCTCTCCCTCCTCCGTTTTTGTCCTCCCTCTTGCCCTCCCGATTGGTCTATGTGATCTACTGCAATCTAAGCTATCATATTGAGTTGAGCTCCCTCTCTCTCTCCCTCCCTTCTTCCCTCGGTCACTCTCTCCCTTCCTCCCTTCGTTTTCCCTTGCTCCCCCTCTCCCTCCCTCCATCCCTAATTCTTCCTACCCCCCTTCCTCCCTCCCTCCCACCTCGCCACGCTTCCTGCATGTCCACCGTATACGCTAATTGTTCGAGGCTGTGCGGTGGATCACACGGCTGATTGCAGTGGCCCAGGACCCACTGCCTTGTCTGCCTTGTTATCTCATTCTTCATTTTCCCTGTCCTTCATGCACATGTCTGCATTGCACAGGCACCAGCATGCACGTAACCAATAGCAGCAGCTGTCTCTACCATCATGTGGACCAGCTACAACCAGATCACCCTACATAAATAGTCCAGCCAAGCAGTAGATCCCATGCTAGTACAATACAGGGTACAAAACTACTCTATTGCATGAGACTTGTGTAGTTACAAGCGTACCGTATGAGCAGTATCAACTGTGCACTATGGAGTCGCGATAATTTAGCCCGCTCGATCAAGATACGATTGTTTTGTTGGATGAAAAGAGATGCAGTGAGCACATGGCTGTGTCTTGCCTCACAACCGTCCATGTCCGGTATGATGCTGTTAGAGTTATATGACGAGTGATTGTTCAACTCGCGGTTGCAACCGAAGAGCGTGGCACATGATGCCGAGTTGATTGACATATTCAGCTACATATCCCCACGCCTTTTGGTTTTGGATGTGCTATTCTTCTTGACTAGGGCGATAATGAGAGCCGCACGCACAATGGCACAATTGGGTTGAATCTGCCAACATCACGGATGAAAGGGAAGGGGGAGGGAGTGATCACTAGGTGGACTAATCTGCCGTGATCACTCGATGTGTGATGCACATGCAAGATAAACAGCTGGCCAATACACAGGGGGTTGACATGAGCAAAGGATGCACAGCAGACTGGCAGGCACCTGTCAGCATCCTCACGCTCCTGGTTGGGAGCAAACAGAGGGAGGAGAGGGGAGTGGGGAGGGAGGGGAGGGGAGCAGACGAGGCCCCGCCAAATGCCAGGCCCCTGATAGTCTTATCGTCTGCCTGGTGGGGGGCAAAGGGAGGGAGGAGAGGTGAGTGGGGGTGGGGTATGGAGGATGACAGGGGTAGCAGGGGGAAGGGAAGATGAGATGGGTAGCAGGGGGAAGGGAGGATGAGATGGGTAGCAGGGGGAAGGGAAGATGACAGGGGTAGCAGGGGGAAGGGAAGATGAGATGGGTGGCTGGCAGGGGGAAGGGAAGATGAGATGGGTAGCAGGGGGAAGGGAGGATGAGATGGGTAGCAGGGGGAAGGGAAGATGACAGGGGTAGCAGGGGGAAGGGAAGATGAGATGGGTGGCTGGGGGAAGGGAAGATGACAGGGGTAGCAGGGGGAAGGGAAGATGACAGGGGTAGCAGGGGGAAGGGAAGATGACAGGGGTAGCAGGGTGAAGGGAGGATGAGATGGGTAGCAGGGGGAAGGGAGGATGACAGGGGTAGCAGGGGGAAGGGAGGAATGTCCACTGTCGCACGAAGATATGGGCAACAGGAGCGGAGGGCATGCACGGTCGGAAAGGCGGTGTGGTCCTAGTGGAGTGGGGAAAGCTTCACAGGGGAAGTGGGGGATAGGACGGGGGGGAAGTGGGGGATTGGACGGGGGGAAGTGGGGGATTGGACGGGAGGGGGAACCTGAGGCGACGGGAGGGGGTAGTGGAGGCGACGGGAGGGGGGAGTTGAGGCGACGGGAGGGGGAACCTGAGGCGATGGGAGGGGGAAGTTGAGGCGACGGGAGGGGGAAGTTGAGGCGACGGGAGGGGGAAGTGGAAGGCGACGGGAGGGGGAAGTGGAGGCGACGGGAGGGGGAAGTGGACGCGACGGGAGGGGGAAGTGGAGGCGACGGGAGGGGGAAGTGGAGGCGACGGGAGGGGGAAGTGAAGGCGACGGGAGGGGGAAGTGAAGGCGACGGGAGGGTGTTAGGGTGGTTCACCGCTGCCCTAGTGCCTACCGGCCTACGCGCTTGACCTAGGGACGGTAGAACAACACTAGGAACGGTGGGAAACTACGACCTAATGTGGAGAACCCACAGCTAGAACGGTGGGATGGAATCCTAAGGAACTATGGAAGGAATGCGCTAGGAAAGAGGAAAAACGGAATGGTGGGAAAGTGGGTTTCGGGAAATGTCGAGAAGACATTTCCGTAACCTAAAATGTCCAACCGCAACCGAACCGTGTTCGGTGTGGATGAGACAACTAGGGTTCGGTTCCGGTGACGGTTACCGAATTCGGTTACGCGTGTGACTCGGGCTGAAACGCGGATGACGCGTTACGCGAGGCGCACACCACATGTCTTGTTGTTTCAATCATTTTGTGTACTTCTCTGTTTCGAGTGAAATCAGTCTTGAAAAACCAGAATTCTCTCCAAGCACTTACTATCTTCAACGCTAGCCGGAGGCTATACCTAAACTTAGAGCTGGTATCAGAGCTTGGTTGTCGTCGCGACGAGCCTCATTATAAGAGCGTTGGAGGCGTTATAATTTTTTAGAGTAATTGGAGAGGGCGAATATTCAACGGCATGGGGAAAGGAGATGGAGAGACCAGTTCAGGGTCTTCAGTGAACACTGACGGTGCGCAGCTGCAGAGTCTACTCGATGCCCTTGCCAAGGGGCAGATTGTGGCCAAAACGACGATTGGCCTAAGTGAAGCTCAACGCTTCAACGGTGAGAACTTCGGCACATGGCGACTTAAGTTCATGAGGCGCGCCCAGGAGGTAGACTTGTGGCATTTCTACAACCCAGAGGCAGCGACGGAGGAAGATGGACCTGCACCTGCAACCGCACAAGAAAAAAAAAACGTTTAAGAAGAGAAGCCAACAAGCTTTCTTTCAACTCTGCCACTCGGTCTCGGATGCAATCGCAGCACGACTCGACCCGTTCTCCGAGGAGGACAACGCAGCAGAGAAGGCGTGGGCCTACATGGAGAGAGTCTACCTCGGGAAAAGCGAAGCGAAAATGACAGCAGTGAGGACGAAACTCATACTGCTGGCCATGGAACCTTCCGAGACGGTGGTGGACTACGTGGGCCGTGCTAAAGGTTATAACGACGACTTGACGGCTATGGGAGTGCCCGAATCGGAGAAGCAAATGATGAGCTACATCATTGGCGGCCTACCGAAAACATGGGCAGCAGAGAAGAGGATGTTGGCCTGTCGACGCCCGACGGACATGACGGACTTAGTGGAGTCCCTTCAAGACGTGGCACTTGTACGTGCGGAGGAAGAGCGAAGGGAGGCGCTGCTGGACAATTTCAGCAACGATAAACCTGCCATGGTGAACGCAACCGGGGCAGGAAAAGCATTCAGAGCTTGCTTCCACTGTGGGAAGAAAGGGCACAAGGCTGCCGAGTGTTACTCCAACCCAAGAAGCAAGAATTTCAAGAGGGACGGCAGCAGTTAGGGAATCTGCCAACGAGGGAACAAGCGGAGGAGGACAACGGCCGAGAGGTGGATTTCCTGGAAATTGCAACCATTGTGGGAAGTGTGGGCACAAAGCAATTGACTGCTACAGCAACCCGGCCAGCAAGAGCTTCAGGGGAGGGCAGCAGCAGCAAAACAAACACATACCTGCGAAGATCAACGCCACCGAAGCAGAAACCAGCGACGACGACGTCATCCTCGGGGAGCCCACAAGGCCAATGTTGCAAGAGCATCCGGCGCATGCCTGCTTGCAAAGGGTCTCAAAGGGAAGGAGTGGTACATGGATAGTGGATGTACCCAACATTTGACCAATCGGAAGGAGTGGCTGCAAAATTTCAGAGCATCACCGATCCCGTACGTACAGTTGGGAGATGAAGGGAAACTTCCTGTGAAGGGGGAAGGAGACATAGTGTTGCAAAGTGTTTATGGTGAGGTGAAGTTGGACAACGTATTGCTGGTGGAAAAGCTCACGCTCAACCTCATAAGCCAATCGCAGTTGGACAGCGGTGGATGCAAGACTTTCAGTGATAAGGGCAGCATATGGGTCTTCGGATCGGATTGGAAGGTGATAGCGGAAGGATCACGCAAGCAAGGGCTGTACGAGATGAAGCTGCATGAAAAACAGAGTGGGGAAAAGGTCACGTACCTGGCTGAACCGGAAGTGGGCAAGGTGGCCCGGGATGAGCTTCGCACCATGCTGAAAAAGGTGCCGATCAAGGAGTTGCAGCAGCAGGCGCTTCCTATGGCAGCAGCGGTGAGCACAGTGGACATCAATCTGCTGCATCGTAGGATTGGGCATGCCGGTCATACTCGACTCAAGCAGCTGGTCAAGAAAAACATGGCAGCAGGGGTGAAGGTAGCTGAGGGTGGAGAGGAAAATCTGAAGTGCAGCACATGCGTGGAAGCAAAGGCAACAAAGGCACCACATCCCAAGCATGGAGTCCGTGAGCCATATGAGACGTTGGCTATTGTGGCAGCCGACGTATGTGGGCCAATGCGAGTGGCTTCACGACATGGCAGCAAGTATTTCGTTACCTTCACCGATCTTGGCACACGACACACGTGGGTGACTGAAATTAAGAAGAAGTCAGAGGTCTACACGAGCTTCCTTGATTGGAAGGCGGAAGCGGAAAGGCAAAGCGGCAAGAAGTTGAAGGTGTTGCGCACGGACAACGGGGGAGAATTCGTTAATGCCGAGTTCAACACGTACCTGAAGTCAAAGGGCATTCGAAGGCAGCTCACGGTCCCGTACACTCCCCAACACAATAGCATTGCGGAGCGGGTGAACCGATCATTGCTGGAGGGCGTGAGGAGCTTGCTCGCGGATAGCAACCTCCCCCTTCACTACTGGGGAGATGCGCTAGGCATGGCATGTTGGCTGAAAAACCGGCTACCGACAAAGGGACTAGCGGCGGACATTACCCCTCACGAGGCGTTATACAAGAGGAAGCCGAATCTGGAGTTCTTACCTGTTTGGGGCTGCATGACGCAATACCGAGAGCCGGCGGGACCCGATCATAAGCTACTTCCAAGGACCAAGTGGGGAATTCACTTGGGAATCTGCCCTGAAAGCAAAGGATGGGTGATACGCGACGTGGAGACCGGGAAAGTCACGGCGACCAGAATTGTCACCTTCTACGAGCGTGACACCTATGTGGAGTGGAAGGGAAGGAAACAGGGAGCTGTGTTAAAGGAAGCGGCAGCATCACCAACTCCAGTGGATGAAATGATTGATGGGAGTGAGAAGGAGGGGATAGGGGCAGCTAATGGCAGCAGTGACAACGATGACTACGAAGACCACACTACACCGGGATTCGATTGGGTGTGGGAGGTTCAGGAGCTGCCCTCACCTTCAACTGCTGTGGAAGAGAGTGAAGAAGAAAAGGATAAGGGAGAAGAGGCGGGTGACAACTCAACGGATGAAGCCGGTGAGGAAGAAGCTGAATTTTCTGATGTGGAAGAGAGTGTGGCTGAATCTGCTAGCACAGACTACACCGACCCATGGCGAATCATTGACACGGGGAACAATGAAAAGGCGGTAGCAGAGATTGAAGACCTACTTGCGAACGGTGCGATCATTCTCGGAAGGGATATTGATGGAACTACCGTGCCACAAGGAGCGGAGGATAGTGCAGCAGCAGAAAAAGGTGGAGCTGAAAATGAGAATGAGGAGATGGGCAAAGGGAAACGGGTTAAGAAACCCAATCCCAAGTATGCCCAAATGCTTCTGACCTGCTGCAAAGACATTCACACTCACCTCCTCCTCACCACCACGGCAACGGCATTACTCTCAAAGGGGAAGGTGAAAAGCTACAAGCTGCCCACCGAGCCTCTCACCATTGAAGAGGCGCTGTCCGGGCCCAACAAAGAGGAATGGAGGGCTGCAATCCAGGAGGAACTTGATACCTTGGCTGAAAGGGGGACATGGGAGCTTGTGAACATGCCTGAGGGGAGGAAACCAGTAGGGGTGCGCTGGATTTTCAAGATCAAAACAGGAGATATGGGGCAACTTGAGCGCTTTAAGGCACGACTCGTCGCTAAAGGCTACACTCAGGTGGAAGGAGAGGACTACGACCAAATCTACGCACCCGTGAGCAAGCTAACAACGGCAAGAACCATGCTCCAGGTGGTGACGGCACGTGGCTACTTCATGGTGCAGCTGGACATAAAAAATGCATTTCTCTATGGCATTTTGAAGGAGACTATCTACATGAATCAGCCACCGGGGTGTGAGGACGGCACGGACAGAAAGTGCAAGCTCATAAAAGCACTTTATGGGCTGCAGCAAAGCCCACGGGAGTGGTATCTAGCTATGGATGCGCAGCTGGAAAAAGGAGGGTTTGTCAAGAGTCAATGTGACCGTGCATTCTACTGGAAGGGAGAAGGAGAGAGCAAGGTGTTCCTGCTCCTCTACGTGGATGATATCCTAGTGGCTGGAGCAAAGGAGGAGAAGGTGGAGGAGGTGTGCACTCACCTCGCAGCTGTATTTCAGGTGAAGAAGATTCCAAGGACCACACTCTTCCTTGGAATGAACATGGAGTGGAATAGGGAGGAGAAGAAGTTGCTGCTATACCAGAAGAAGTACTTCCAGAGGTTGCGGGAGAGGTTTGGAGGGGAATGCAAGACCAAACCAGTGACAACACCTCTCAGCAGCCTTGCAAACAAGGAGGTCGATGTGGAAGCGGAAATTGAGGCATGGGGCAGCAAGGAGAGAGCGCTGAAAGCATACCAATCCATGGTAGGCTCAGTCATGTACCCGGTGTCATGCACACGGGTTGATGTGGCCTACGCTGCAAGCTTTCTTGGACAGAAAGTGTTGCAGCCCGAGGGACGCAAGTGGAAGGAAATGGAGCGGACCATCACTTACCTCTTACAGCGGGATGATGAGGGGCTGCTGTTTGAAGGAGGAGAGGAGAGTCTTGAGCTTGTGGGGTACGCCGACGCCTCACATGCTTCGGACAAGAAGACCGGGAGGGGAGCCTATGGCTATGTCTGCCTCCTTGGTGGAACGGCAATCATGTGGCAAGCCAAGAAGCTCACCGATGTGGCTCTGTCCAGCGCGGAAGCTGAATACATGGCGATGTTTTATGCATGCCAAGAGGGCGTGTGGCTGAGGCGTCTACTTCAAGAGATGGGGGTCAAAGTGGAAGGTCCTACAACGATCAAATCGGACAGCAAATCTGCAATTGACCTCGCACAAAACGACAACTGGCATGGGCGCACGAAACACATGAATGTGAGGTACCATTGGGTACGGGAGCAGCTACAGAAGAAGGCTTTCACCTTTGTGCACGTGGGAACACAGGAGCAGCCAGCGGACTTCCTGACTAAGGTGCTGCCAAAAGCAAACTTCGAGTTTTGCAAGTATTTTGTCAGCATGCGGACCTTCAAGGACTTGCAGGGGAGCATCGGAGCAGCAACACGGGACGGCACACCACCTGAAGGAAGGGAAAGGCAGGGCAGGAACAAGGCTGGTTACATGGTAACCACAGGAGCATAGGAGGTGGCAGCTGGCAAACCACAGGGGAGATTGTTAGGGTGGTTCACCGCTGCCCTAGTGCCTACCGGCCTACGCGCTTGACCTAGGGACGGTAGAACAACACTAGGAACGGTGGGAAACTACGACCTAATGTGGAGAACCCACAGCTAGAACGGTGGGATGGAATCCTAAGGAACTATGGAAGGAATGCGCTAGGAAAGAGGAAAAACGGAATGGTGGGAAAGTGGGTTTCGGGAAATGTCGAGAAGACATTTCCGTAACCTAAAATGTCCAACCGCAACCGAACCGTGTTCGGTGTGGATGAGACAACTAGGGTTCGGTTCCGGTGACGGTTACCGAATTCGGTTACGCGTGTGACTCGGGCTGAAACGCGGATGACGCGTTACGCGAGGCGCACACCACATGTCTTGTTGTTTCAATCATTTTGTGTACTTCTCTGTTTTGAGTGAAATCAGTCTTGAAAAACCAGAATTCTCTCCAAGCACTTACTATCTTCAACGCTAGCCGGAGGCTATACCTAAACTTAGAGAGGGGGGAGTGAAGGCGACGGGAGGAGGAATTGAAGGCGACGGGAGGGGGAATTGAAGGCGAGGGGAGGGGAAAGCGAAGGCGACGGGAGGCCACAGTGAAGATGGTGGCGTGAGGATGGGGGAATCGTGGCGTTTGCTAATTCCGGCACGACCAAACCCTAACCGCGGTGTGAAGGGCTTCTTTCCATGGAGCGTGCACCTGGAGGCTTAGACGCCGGCAGTATCGTGCATTTTTGTCCTTTTTACGGGACATTGAAATATGTGTGTTACGCAGTCACTCGTAGCATATGGGTGACATTGCGTCAATATTTACTGAGCGAATGTGAGGAGGGACACTCATACTCATATGATGTTCTAAACCACCGAATTCAGGAAATGTGTTTGATGGAAGGTGCATTCCGCTACTTTCAGACTGTACTGTGCCCATTGGAGGTTGTTGGCGGCTTTTACGTACCTTCGTGAAACACCAACACGAGGTCGACGGGCCATAAGTACTTGCAAAACCCCCCTACTTTAGTTGGCTGCTAAATGCGCCATCTAGAACTTGCGGGCCTGATGCTTTTCTGACGTAAATGCAGGTCCTGGTCTATTGTGTGTGTGGCAGCGCAAGAGCTGCGCAAGTGTTGTGTTGTCCCTTCCCACATGGGCTGGTGTTTTTGGGTCGCGATGTGTGGGTAGACGTGCGACAATTTCTATTGGCTGGTTTTCTGTTGTTTGACTCGGCAGTTCGCAGCACAATTCGCGAATTCGCTCACTGGGTGTGCATTCTTTCGGCTCCCCACTTTCACTCTCACACCCCTCGCCACCCTTTGAACCCCATAATCAAGCTTTTAAAAGTTGTGCAATTTGGGCTGCCGGCTTTAACGTCGGAAGGGTTGCGTAGATGTTACATTCATATTTTACAAAACATGAGGACAAGCTATTTAATGTATTTGTATAGCACCAAGTTTAATTTTCATGTGTTAACGAATATGACAAGCTAGCTCATTCTTGATTATGGAATAAAGTGATTGTTTATGATTTCGTTGCTAAACTATGGGTGAATTTATATAGAGCCATTGATTGTTTCTATTAAGTATTATTTAAATTTAGTGAACAACTATGTTTTATATCTTCAATATGATATTTGGGAAAATATGTCAATGGTAACTTACATGGGGCATTATAACGCGTACGGTAACGATTTCAACGCGTTTGGTAACTCGCTTAACGCGTTTGGTAACTCGCTTAACACGTTTGGTAACTCGCTTAACGCGTATGGTAACTATCCAGTAGCAGCCCATCACGCGAATGGTAACTAGAAGAAACCCTCGCCCAAAATGACCCTGATTCTGGTTTTTCCCGCTCGCGTCAGACTAAATTGACGAATCTTGAAGCAGAAACCTCTGACACACTCTCCGAAATTCTGACACAGTTCTCCGAAATTCTGACACACATTCCGAAATCCTGACACACTTTCCGATTTTCAAGCTAATTGCAAAAACGTAACTGTTGTGAAAACAACTGTTCATACATAACTGATATTCTGGCGCTCTTTCCGCAAACTGTTTGTACTTCATTCTATCGTGCAGCCAGGGTAAACAAATCTATACCCCTTTCAGATGGCAAATGAATTTGAGAGGCGACCCTAAACTCCTTGCGACAAGGCGTTTATGGTTTTTTTTTGTAAAAAATGAAATATGTAATTCTAAATAGGTGTATTTTTCCCACATGCAAAATTCTCCAACGTTGCAGTAATTACAAAAAAGTAAAAGCCCCGAGGTCCTTTCGGGGAATGCTTTTTATCATTTTGCAAGTTCGCAATCATGCTATAAAAAATATGATTTTAACCGTTTTTTTACGAGCTACATATATATTTAAAACGGCTCTGAAACTTTTCGGTCCGTGGTAATAGAACAAACGTGTTATGAGTTGTAAAAGAGAGTGCGCAGAATAACGAATAACAAGAATGATCGATTACTGAATGTCGATACAATGAAAGTGGCATGACTAAATAGGGGAAAGGCTAGCTAGGCGGGGGGTTCGGGAAGGGATGGCTCGGTGATGTTGCGATTGGAGCGGAGGCCGACTCGGGGGTGGTTCGGTGCGGCGAATTAGGACGAACAGGTTCGTCGCGTGACCCTCGGGATGGCCTCGCTAACGAGTGCCTCAGTAAGGATTTGTAAATCCTCACAAAACGGGGTCCTTCAAAGTCGCGGCGGGACTAGTTCAAGAAAGAAAAAAAATTGCGTAAAAGCTTTCAAACTTGATAAATTCCTCTTTGTCAGGATCATTTCGGCGGGAGTTTCATGTAGTTACCATTCGCGTGATCACTTGCCTGTGTTGAGTTACCAAATGCGTGATGCGAGTTACCAAACGTGTTAAACGAGTTACCAAACGCGTTAAGCGAGTTACCAATTGCGTTGAAATCGTTACCGTACGCGTTATACTGCCCAATGTAAGTTACCATTGACATATTTTCCCATGATATTTTGTAACACTGAACTACCAGGTTCTTGCTCTAGCAAAAGTGTGTTTCCAGCTCACACAAATTCCACGTGATTATGCGTGTGTTCTCACGTGGCATCAGCGTTTGGTTTTTTTGTTTTAGATTCCAAGTGCCCAAGCTAAGTGCTGGCTTTTAGATTGCCCCATCGTTTTCGGGTTTCTATATACGAAGTGTTTCATGCGTCGTCTTTTTCTGGGAGGTGCGCAAATTCTGTTCAGTGTTTTCGTTTTGCCTCATCGTTTTTTTTTTTTGTTGTGTTTCATGCCTCCTCCCTTCTCCCATTTCGGTTAGTGTAGTTTCTTGTTTGGAGGCACTTGCTCCCACCCCGTCATCGCTTCTCCTTCCCCACCACCTGTTGCCTCACCCTCCCACCCACCTCGTCATCGCCTCTCCCTCCCACCTTTCCATCGCTGCTCCCTCCCACCCTGCCATCCACTTTCCATTCCACCCCGCCATCCCCTCTCCCTCCCACCGTGCCGTCGCCGCTCCCTCCCTCCCCCGTCGCCTCTCCGTTCCTCCCGCCGTCGCCTCTCCCTCCTCCCCGCCGTCGCCTCTCCCTCCCTCCTCCCCGCCGTCGCCTCTCCCTCCTCCCCGCCGTCGCCTCTCCCTCCTCCCCGCCGTCGCCTCTCCCTCCTCCCCGCCGTCGCCTCTCCCTCCTCCCCGCCGTCGCCTCTCCCTCCTCCCCGCCGTCGCCTCTCCCTCCCACCCCGTAGTCGCCTCCGGCGACAGGTGCACGGGCGCAACCGCGAGTTGGTGCGCGGGCGCGGGTTGGTGCGAGAGCGTGGGTTGGTTTCTGGCACCGTGGTTATCAGGTGTGTTCCCGGTCCTTTCATCCTCCCTCCCCCTCTGATTTTTTTTCTGTTTTGCTCTCGTCGTAAGTCTTGTGTATTAGTCTCTTGCATTGCAGTCCCATTTGAAGTAGAACGCGAGGGTTTCGCGAGGGGAGCGTGCGCACGAGAGCGAGCACGCAAGAGATTGCGTGTGAGAGCCAAGAGAGGGTGGCAGAGCGTGCAGGTGGGAGCGTGGAAGGGAGAGGCAGGAGCGAAAATACTCGTGCGCGCTTGTGCCATAGGCACTTGCGCTTAGGCGCTTGCGCCGTGGGGGCGCGATTCGAGGGTGTTGGCACCGTGGGCGAGTGAGAGAGCGCGTGAGAGAGCGCGTGAGAGAGCGCGTGAGAGAGCGCGTGAGGGAGCGCGTGAAAGAGCGTGTGAGAGTGCGCGTGAGAGTGCGCATGAGAGAGCGCGTGAGTGAGAGCGTGAGGGAGCGCGTGAGAGAGCGTGTGAGAGAGCGCGGGAGAGAGCGCGCAAGAGAACGCGCGAGAGAGCGCGCGAGAGTGCGCGCGAGAGAGCGCGCGAGAGTGCGCGTGAGAGTGCGTGTGAGAGAGCGCGTGAGAGTGCGCGTGAGAGAGCGCGTGAGTGAGCGCGTGAGGGAGCGCGTGAGAGAGCGCGTGAGAGAGCGCGTGAGAGAGCGCGTGAGAGAGCGCGTGATAGAGCGCGGGAGAGAGCGCGCAAGAGTGCGCGCGAGAATGCGCGTGAGAGAGCGCGTGAGTGAGCGCGTGAGTGAGCGCGTGAGAGAGCGCGTGAGAGAGCGCGTAAGAGAGCGCGCGAGAGAGCACGTGAGGGTGCGGGTGAGAGTGCGCGTGATAGTGCGCGTGAAAGAGCGCGTGAGAGAGCGCGCGAGAGAGCGCTGTTAGAATGTAGAACTGAACGAGAATGGATGAACTAGGCAGCAGGGTGATACAAGTAGGAAACCCTAGCAATGTTGTACCCCCTAAGGCTAAACCCACTATAGCCTACACAATATAAACATGTATAATGTTTGACACACCCCCATAGGCGAAGTGGGGGACAACCTGATGGTCACAAGACCAGTCAAAGCAAAGCAAAGCAAAGCAAGCTCAGGGTGGATCTCAAGGAAACCACACAAATTCCGAGCACAAGCAAGCGGTCACAAGACCCGTTCACATGCAGTTTGATAGAAAACAAGAGGTACAGTGATCACAACCTAGCAAGTGTAAGCATGCTGGTATATATATAGAGATCACAGTACAAGCAGAGTCAAGAAGTAAGCAAGTGAGGCACAGTGGGCACAAGGCCGAGAACAGTACAGAAACGCTGATGATCACAAGGCTGAAGCGCCTTGGTGAACACATCAGCAGTGTTGGCCCGAGTGGCCACGTAAGCAAGACGAAGCTGACCACGCTGCTGCAACTCTCGAGCAAGGAAGTAGCGCAGAGCGATGTGCTTCGTTCTGTGCTCCAGTCTGTGCTCCTGACACAAGGCAATGGCGGCCTTGTTGTCGACGTACAGTACTGGAGGAGAACGAGGCCGCTCTCCCAGGTCGGTCAGCAGGTAGGTGAGCCAGCGTAACTCCTGTGCAGCCATGGCTGTGGCGTAGATCTCAGCCTCACAACTGGAGCTGAGAACTGAAGACGAGCGTGTAGAACGCCAAGAAACTGAACCAGAGCCAAGGCTGAAGGTGTAACCCTGAGACGACCGCTGCGTAGCCTGGTCGTCAACCCAAGAAGCGTCTGAGTGCCCAGTGAGGACAACGTCGCTCCGTCCTCCAAGCACAAGCCCCATGCCCGATTTACTGCACAAGTAGCGCAACACCCTCTTAGCGGCATCCATGTGCTCCTTCCGGTGACGGCCAGGAGCGACATAGCGTGCTAGGATGCTAAGAGGGTATGCAAGGTCAGGTCGAGTGCAGGTCATCAGGTACATGAGGCAGCCCACAAGCTCTGGATACGGGCCACTCGGCTCTACGGACTCATCCGAAGGCAGAGCTGAGAGCGAGTGACCGGTAGGCAGAGGAGTGGACTGAGGCGAGGAGTACGTGAAGCAGAAGCGCTGAAGGACCTGCTGCACCATGTGTGACTGAGTCAAGGTGATGGTGCGCTGTGCTCTGGCCCGGGTGATCCGCAAGCCAAGATAGCTTGTCAGCTCACCCAGGTCTGTGCACGTGTGTCTCTTCTGCAACTCCGACTTCACGTGGGCGAGTGCCTCAGTGTCAGCAGTAGCAAAGACCAAGTCGTCTACGTACACGAGAACGTAGAACGGCGGTAGAGTGGTGTCGGTGCGTAGAAACAGCGACGGGTCAGCAGTAGAAGGAGCAAACCCAAGAGCAGCAAGAGTAGTCCTCAGTGTGTCGTGCCACTCACGCGGTGCCTGGCGGAGACCGTAGACTGGCCGCCGGAGGCTCCACTGGGTACCAGGAGGGAACGACCCAGTGAAGCCAGGTGGGCGGCGCAGCCAGATCTCCTCGTGCAGGCTGCCCTGTAGAAAAGCAGTGCTAAAGTCAAGAGAGTGGAGCTCGTAGTCACGCTGAGCGGCGACGTGCAGCAGAACCCGAAGAGTGGTCATCTTCGGGGTCGGGGAGAAGGTCTGGAAGAAGTCAACTCCCTCTCGCTGACTGAAGCCTCGTGCAACGTAACGCGCCTTGAAGACAGGCGGAGAACCCGGCGGCCGCTTCACCCTGAAAATCCACATGCCACTGACGATGTTCGCCCCAGGTGGGGGAACCTCGTCGACGTAGGTGCCTGTGGACTTCCAAGAAGCCATCTCTACGTCCATGGCTGTCTGCCACTGAGAGGAGTAGGGACCCTCTATCGCCTCTGCGTAAGAGCGCGGGGTCGGGATGTCTGGTGCATCCGGGTCTCCCTCAGGGGCAATCAGCATGGATACGAGATGAGGTAAAGCAGCGGCAAAGCACTCAAACTCCTCCTGTCTGTCCTCAAGGACGTCCGTGCCAAGAGCACACTCACCCCCGACGGACGGAGGACAGACAGACTCAGACTCAGCAACAAGGCTAGCGGCGTAGTCTAGACGACAGGCGGCAGTAAAGTCAACAAGCTCAGCAACGCAGCAGTGGACTCAAAGGTAGGGTCAGTGACAACAGTGGCGAGGAAACGCGTGACAGTAGGACTAGCAGCACGAGCAAGGTCTGACGGCGGGTCAGCAACGTCAGGAAGAGAGGACGCAGGAGGAGACGGCAGAGGGACACGCTGTGGAGCAGTGGAAGGACGCAGAGTCATATAGTGAGTGCCTAGTACAGGAGGAGGACGCTGACGCGGAGCACGACGACCAGCGCGCACAGCGCGGACAGGCGACTTTGGACGAGACTCAGGTGACTCAGGACGAGACACCGGCGACGCAGGACGAGACTCAGGCTCACGACGCTCCGTAAGACCGCTAGTCGGCCCAGCGTAGGGAGAAGGACCAGGCAGTGGAGAGGCAAGCGGTAACTGTGACTGCGACTGGACAGGTGGTGGACTCAGTAGGGGAGGAGAAGGACCAGTGGAGGGCGGGAGGCCAAGAACCTGCTGAAGGAGCAGAACGTAGTACGGCCGCGGCCGCTCAGCACCTCCTGAACCAGCAGAGACAGCACCAGCACCCTCAGCCCCAGGGTCTCCAGCACCAACTCCCGCAGCACCACCAGCAACCCCAGCAGCTCCAATACCTCCAGCTCCAACCCCCGTACCAGCTCCAGTACCTCCAATACGAGCACCTCCAGAACCAGCGGCTCCAGCAGCTCCAGCACCAGCAGTACCTCCAGTAGCTCCAGCACCAGCAGCACCTCCAGCACCAGCAGCGCCTCCAGCAGCTCCAGCACCAGCAGCACCTCCAGCACCAACAGCGCCTCCAGCAGCTCCAGCACCAGCAGCACCTCCAGCACCAGTAGCGTCTCCAGCAGCTCCAGCTCCAGCAGCACCTCCAGCAGCACCACCAGCAGCTCCTGCGCCAGCAGCACCAGCACCAGCACCAGCTCCAGCTCCAGGGTCCTCAGCACCAGTAGCAGCTCCAACTCCAGGGTCAGCGGCACCAGCAGCACCACTCCGGAGACTACAGCGCCGAGCGTACCACTCTCGGAGCGGCTGGGGAGAGGGCGGCTCCCGCCTAGGAGGGGAACCACGAGCACCAGCTCCAGCAGCACCCCTAGCCCCTGAAGCGCCCCTCCTGAGGCTGCAGTACCGCGAGTACCACTCACGCAGCTGCTGGGAAGAGGGAGCTCCTCCACGCGCAGCACGGTCAGTCGCAGCACCCCCAGGCTCAGTACCCTCAGACGTAGCACTCTCAGGCTCAGCACCCCCAGACTCAGCACCCGCAGGCTCAGCACCCCCAGACTCAGCACCCCCAGGCTCCGCACGCTCAGGCTCAGCACCCCCAGGCTCCGCACCCCCAGGCTCAGCACTCCCAGGCTCCGCACCCCCAGGCTCAGCACCCCCAGGCTCAGCACCCCTAGTAGGACGAGAGTCGACAGCTACCTCGACAGGCTCAACCGGGTCTACCTGGGACACACCTGAGGGAGCGGCACCCTGAGGGGGGAGGGGGTCTACCACAGCAGCACCTGGTGCGAGGAAGAGAGGCGGGGGGGGGAGCGAGGCAGTGCGGTAGGGGAAGAGGCGGTAGTAGGGGACCGACTCGTCGAAAGTGACGTCCTAAGAGGGCAGGACACGGCGCGAGGTGGCGTGGTAAAACTGCCAACCAGACGCGTCCGGGACAAAGCCAAGGAAGACACAAGGAACAGCGCGGGAGGAGAGCTTGTCCGCGGACGTATCGCGGACAAAGGCACGAGCACCCCAGACCCGGAAACGCGACGCATCGCCAACCTTCCCCGTCCACAGCAGTGTGGGCGAGGTCTCCGGCAAGGAGACACGGGGCCAGAGGTTGAGCTGATGCGCAGCGTATCGGACCGCAAACGGCCACAGAAAGTGGGGGGCAGCCGCATGGATCAAGTACGAGCGACCTCCATGACCAAGCCAATGCGGCGCTCAGCAACCCCATTCTGCTGTGGAGAGGCCGGAAGCGTGAACGACTGCTCAATGCCCTCCCCCTGACAGAAGGCCCTCAA